GACAGTTTTGCTCAAAGATACTCTGAAGTAATATGAGAACAATTTTTAAAAAGTCAAGTCTTTTAAACAAGTAAGATAAAAAGTGAAAACGTAAAATTGTCATAAAAGTGGAAAATACTTAACCAAAACCTGGTACTTAAAGAGGAACAGTTTTTTTCTTTTTGTCGTTTCTATTTTTTGTCTACATTTGTAAAACAACACAGTCGCTAGAACTTTTTTTTTTTTTTTTTTTTTTTTTTTTTTCTGAACGGCAAGGTAAAAAAAAGGAAAAAAAAAAAAAAAGTAGCCAAAATATATGTAGCTTTTAAAGGAACATCTTCTAATTGGTTGCAAAACTGGGGCTCACATTTTAGCTAGATTGAAGAAGGAAAGGTGCTGCCCACTGTCCAATTTTTAATTCATTTAGACGGTGTTACACATACGTATGTAATCATGGTTGTCCTTATCAACATGTGGTATAGCTATTCATATCCATATATCAATTGGTCCCAAAAAACAAAAAAAAACACCCATTTGGAAAATTCGACAATCATGTTACTTGTAAGAATGAAGACACGTGTTCACGCCGGTTCAACGGTCGCTCAACGTGGAGAAACCCCAATTGAGTGATAGGACTTCTCTTTTCTGTTTTCTTTGGATGAGATACAAATAAAAAATTACGCGACGTTATTGTATTTTAAATAAAGCTGCGCGTCATGGCGGACGTGTCGAGATTGTGACCATGCAGAAGACATGAAAAAAATCCGCCATTTTCCGCTCGTATTTTACTATTCTTTACACAAGCAGACTTGTAAAGAACAATTTGGTTGAGAGCAACTAAGTCCCTGTCACCCCACGTGAGGGGGATAAATATAAAAAGAAAAAAAATAAAAAAGAACTTCAAATTGAGTCAATCAAAACCGGAGAAGTGTACATATGCTTTAAATTTTGACGCGGTAAAAATATTAGATGGAGCATTATTTTCAGCAATATTGTTATAGTCACAAAAGAAAAAAAAGAGTTGCAAAAATTGTGCATACCGTTTTGATTCCACAGCACACTGACATGTGTTCTATGTGCCGAAACGGGTGCAACTTCCATTTTGCGCAAAAGGTACCTCTTTTAAAGATAAACATTTTGAGGACGTGAAAAAAAAAAAATAAATAAAAAAAGTAATGATAAAATATCTTTCAAACAATGACATTGGGTAATTTTTCCATCTGGGAAAATGTCATCCGTGCGCGGAATGATCGCCCAAATGTACGACCATATTTTATAACTCCTATAAGGTATCAAAAAAATAAAATAAAACTATCTTGACGATCGCGGCTGAAAATACATAAAATATTCATTTGGCAGAAAAGCGAAAAAGCTTTAAGAAATCAACCAAGTGTAACCCGTGGTGCGTGCTTCAATGAAAAAAAATGTGAGCCCAGAAAAAAGAAACAAGCAGTGTAAAAAAAATGCCAAGGAAACAACTGCGCAATTTTAATCGAAACAGAACGCATATGTGCATGTGTGTAAGTATACAGATGGGAGGAACAATTTGACGAAGATGTAACCCGAATTCACAATAATGAAAAATGCGATTAAAAACCTGGTTATGTGTTTACCCTGCGTCCTGATTCTGTTTCTATACGAACACTATGCATACAAGATTGATAACATAAAAATTAAAAAAGGGCAATTTAGTGACGCCTTGGAAAGGACAGTGCACAAAATTAATAAACGCGTCCAAAAGGACAGTGGCACATACTATGACGTTTGCAAGTATAAAAAAATTCCCAAAATTTTAATAGAAAGGAAAAATAAGCTCAAAAATACCCAAAAGGTTAAATACATCGTAGGGATTGAAAACACGTGTGATGATACTTGTATCTGTATCCTTGACTCCAACTTGAACATTGTTAAAAATGTTATCATATCGCATTTTAAGGTGGTTCACAAGTATGAGGGTGTGTATCCATTTTTTATCAGCTCCATCAACCAGCTGTTTTTGAAGCCCTACGTGGAGAAGATTCTCGAGGGCATTGGTAGGAGAGAACCGCCCCACGTGGGGAATACTACATTCACATCTACACTTATATATACGCATACACATGTGCACTTTTGCGTGCTACCTTTCCCCCACTTCAGACAAGAGTCGAATTAACTGCTTCGCCTTCAGCGCTTGCCCGGGAATAGCTAAAAGTATGGAGGCCGCCAAAAACTACATAGGGGAAAAGAAGAAGCAGAACCAAAGCATACAAATAAGTCCAATCAATCACGTTTTTGCTCATGTCCTGTCGCCTCTCTTTTTCCACGTGTACAATGATAAAAATACATATACGAATAATGGCCAGTACAAGGACGGAAAATGCGATCAATCGAAAAATGAACCTGGGATCGATATGTATATCGAGGAGGAGGTCAGAAAGGATAAGACACAAATGGAAAAAGTGAAAGGCATTGTGCAGATTCTCAATAGCAACGATATGACGAAGCAGAAGATGCCACGTTTTAGCGAAGAGGAGTTTTTAAACTGCGGTAATTATGTGCTGAGGGGAGTGATGGGCAATGCAGCACCCCAAAGTGTAGTCTCCAAGCGGAAGAACACCTCTGCACCGGAAATACATTATAGTGGGGATGCACCTCAGGGAAGCAATTTGACAGATGGATACATCTGTGCGTTAGTTTCAGGAGGAAGCACACAAATTTACAAAGTTCAAGGGAACAAAAGACATGACATTAACTTATGCAAGTTGTCCGAGACGGTCGATATTTCCATTGGAGACATAATTGACAAAATTGCCAGGCTTCTGGGGCTCCCCGTTGGGTTAGGGGGAGGTCCCTTCCTTGAAAAGAAGTCAGCAGAGTTCGTTACAAGAATGAAGGAGGAGCAGTTGAGTGGGGAAGCTTGTGCGGATCCATTTCAGCCCTTTCCCCTGCCCTTTTCCGCGAATAACCGAATTGATTTTTCGTAAGAAAGGCTATTCCATCGGTAGCGGCGGTGCTGCGCCGTTTAGATGTACTGATGTACTGTGTTCGTATGTTGCCTGTACACATCCTCCCCGTCTCTTCGTTTGTCTTCTTTGCTTTCTCCTCTCTTACCCACCACGTCGATTCATCACGTGGACCCCGCCCCGTTGCAGCTTTTCAGGTATGTACAACCACCTGCGCAAAATCATCGAGGAATTAAAAAAAGGAGAGTCCTTCGAGCGGGAAAAAGACAGATATGCCTACTTCAGTCAGAAGAATATGTTCAACCACCTATTGACGCAGATTAACAAAATTATGTACTTCTCAGAGCTACATTTCAATATAAAAAAATTATTCATAGTGGGGGGAGTTGGGTGCAACCAGTTTTTGATCAGCGAGTTGAAAAGCATGGCTATGAAGAGAAATCAATTGGAAGTGCAGCTTAATGAATTTAAAAAATTAAAGAAAAGGCTAAGTAAAAGGATAAAAAAAATAAGTGAGAACAAATTTTTACATTCGAAAGTGTCCAAGGAAGTGCTCAAAGGGGAAATTGAATTCAGTGCATCCCTGAATTGGGATGTTTACTTAAAGCATCTTTTAAAGAGGAAAACGGAACAAGATATTTTGTCAGCTTTAAAATGTTTTAATTTTGAGGACTTTACGAAACTGAAGCAGGAGGGCCATTTTCTGCTCGAGGGTTGTTCCGCTTCCTCCAAAAGCGAAAGTAAGTGCACTATACCCTTCTTTTAGTGTGAGTGGTGCATTTTCTTATTCGCCGTCTTAATCCGTCTGTTGCTAGGCTTTTGTACCTTTTTGGGAATTGTCCTTCTGACTGCCCCTTAGACCGGGCATGATAACGGTTGCCTCAATGCTGACTTCACACCCTACTTCGACGCATTCACTTCGCAGCGCCCTGGAGCGTGTACAGGACGCCGCCCAACCTCAGCAGAGATAACGCGGCCATGATTTGTTTTAGCGCTTTTTTGAATTTGCACAACAAAAGGTAGGTATTCCCCCTGTGGTATTCTACATCTTTGAAGACAGGACCTATTGCTGTGTGTGTGTGTGTGCCTCCAGTGACTTGACTTGCACGCATACAAAAATACATTCACAACTGGTGATTCTCCTGCACACTCCCTATTTCCCCTTTTTAGCAACCTCCATGAGGATGTATCTCAGATTGAAATTAAACCAACGGTGAAGACCCAGGTTGAAAATAATTTCCTTCTCGTTTCCGACATTATCATTTTTGATGTGTTTCTGCATCAGTTTGGCGCTCAGGGGGTGGGTGGTAACCGATAACCCGTCCACGCAAAAGTACACATCAGTATAGGCCTGCCCGCATGTATGCCTACCTACCAAATTTCCGGTGTACTTAATCACCTGCTTATGCGCGATGTTTTCGTAAAAATGTTGTGACCGTTTCCTCGGAGCGCCCCTCCCAATAGGAGAGAATGGCCGTTTGGGAAACACTCCTGATGGTTGTGGTCCTTACGAGGAAGAAGGGCAGGGGAAACACATAACTACGCCCCTCACATAACCAGATGCGTGATTCTATGTTCATACGCCCTGTGAAGTTATGAACCCGGTGGGTATTCTACGCCACAAACGTCTCCCTATGGCGCTTTCCCGCCTGTACTATTGCTCCGAATGAACTAATGGTTAAATTGATGACTTGAACGAAGTGCCAAATGGTACTTTCTCACAAATTAGACATTAATAGTGTTCTTATGGGAAGGGGGCATAGCCATCCCTCATTGTGAGGGGGCAAATCGGAGGGAAAGACAAATGAAAGGCAAGAATTACGAAAAAATGAGGATCACGCGGAGGGCGCACAAACATAACAAACAGTAACAAAAAAAAAAAAACAAAATAAAATAAGTGAATGAATAAACCCACGCAGCGCGACGCGGATTATGCGTGCCAAACCCCTTCACTGCGCACGCGCGGGCGTGAAGAGAAGGGAATTCAAAGCTTCACCCCCGCGCAGTGGTCATTAATGATCGAGAGGTGCCCCGTAGGAGGCTGGAAAAGGTCTTCGAATTCTTTTACAATGGAAATTACGTCATAATATTTGTTGTAGACGCGATAAAAATTGGTCTTACTTAGTAGACCACTGGCGATTTTGCTCAACCTGTCTTTTTTCTTCATGATAGAATCCACACACACGTAGGGCTGCTGAAAAAACCGGTGCGAGTAACCACCAAGCAGTTTGTACACCCTGTTGAGGTAGTAGCAATTTTTTCTTTTCTGAAAAAATTTTGTTGGCACCCGCTGTGTAACGCACAAGTGCATTTGCGTCGTTGGGGTGGGTTCACCATTCCCTTGGGTGGGCAAATAATCTCTCGGATTATTTCGCGTATCATTTCGTGGATGGTTCCCCGGGTCCAACTCAAAACGGACGCTGACAAATGAACAGCCCATCCTGTGCGGTACTACAAACATATGATTAGGGCCAGCCGTCCTCACGGTTAACACGGTGGGGTGCGATACGTGTACATAGAGCTTGCCATTCAGGGGCGGCAAAACTCTCTCCATGTTTATATTATACATATGGATAGATAAGTACTGAACAATATTCAAGGGGATGAATTTGCCATAATAGGTGTGCATCTTCACACTGGAAATGTCTGATATATTGATGAGAAATTTTTTGTAAATATTTTTCTGTATATTCCAGTAATGCGCATTATGCAAGATGGCGGTCCTTTCCGTGTGGACAATTTTTTCTGCTGACAAGGGGAAGCGCTGCTCATAAGTCCAGTTCGCCAAAATTGCCAAGCAGTGAAAACTTCTATCGAATTTGTAAACGCCTCTACTGCTAAGGTGGACGACTGGGAGAGCTCTTCCTTGTGACGCACGTCGCTGGACAACCAAGTTGTATACCTGGGAGTAGACGACCTCGCCCTGGTGAGAGCTGCCACTATATTTGATAAAATTGGCGTACAGAGAGAAGAGGCCTTCGTTGCGCGCCTCGATGGACAGGAACGCATCGGGGGAGACTCTTAAATCGGTGACGACTGCGCGTCTGGCGGGGGTGGGTCCATCCGCTTGGCGGCATGGCTGACGCTGTGGTTGGCGGTCACGCCTTCGATCACCCAGCAGGACACTCCCATCGTTGACGAAATACTCCACCTGGAACAACTCCCCTGTGTGCTCGTAAACCAGACCAAAGTCCAGCGAGAGGAAAGGACCCATATCACCCCCTCCGCTGTAAAATGTGGCGCACGTATGTACCTCTTCATTAGGGATCATTTGAATGCTGTCCTGTGCAAAGAGCTTCATGGATCGTACATGATCAATAATAACATCAAATTTGAGAAAAAACAAATTTCGCAATTTTTTCTGGTCTTCAATTTCATCGCAAGTGTGTGCATCCGTGTTGTGACATTTTTGACGTTCCTTGCGGTGCTCCAAATAATGATCATAATACCTTTCCAAGTCGTAAAAGTCTGTTACAAATTTTTCGAATGTATTAAAATTTGTCCTTCCTTCGTGTTGGCTGAAAACGGCGTAGTAACTTTCAAATATAGGGAAAATATGTATTTCGGTATTTCCTACAGAATTGCCTGACTTGATAGAGCAGACATAAGTACACTGGTCCCCATGCGACTTGAAGACTCCTTCCACTTTCACTAGTTTTTCATTTTTTGAAAGGCACACAACTTTATGTATGAGCGGGTGGCATAACTTGAAGGGGACCTCCATGGTCTGCTGATAGGGGTGTATCAAAATGGAGTTTCCGCCTCGGTAAAGTGAACCCCCCCTTGAGTACACAATCAAACGCGTCATATTGGACAAAACAGAAATTTGTTGGTTGACCAATTTGTACTTTACTTCTACTTGTATATAATATTTACCTTCATGTGAGCTGCGCACCTGGAAAAACATATCCGTCGTTACGGCTCTTGCTTCCTCTGTTGTACTGCGACGTGGCATCTGCAGCTGGTCTACCCGTTCGTTCCACTCCTCTGGGGATAAATTCAGGGGGGTCATCTCGATCCGCCTGTTGTAATCGTAGACCAGCTTTACCTTCAACCATTGCGTGGGGAGCAAATTGATCTTTCTGTTATACTTGTCAAAAAATTGGACTCTCATGGGTACTGCCATTTGGTCCCCCCTTTCTGCATTTTGAACAAGCAGGGACACTTTTACCCTTGTCAATTTTGAAAAAGCGAAATGGATGTCTAAGTGGTCCGTTTCGTAGACCAACTCGTTTTGTATCGTCAGAACTCCTTTCGCTTCGAATGACGAGTTGATATACACGCGTGTGCATTTCTGCGGTGGGCTCTGTGGGTTGTCCAAATTTACTATCATCACGCTTGGTTTTGTTTTTTTCCCGTTTGGAGGGGTCACGTGGTCATGGCTATTCATGTCGTTATGGTCGCTCGCCCCAAGCAGCTTTTCCATCTCGGAAGGACCCAGCACGCTGATCCTGTTCGTCCCCCTGAATGAGTATCTCACCGCGTGCAGGGGACATGCATCTCTCTCCGTCGTTGTGCAGATGGGCAGGGAGTAATACACATGCGGGGAGAAGAACAGAACCAAATTATCTTGAAAGGATATGTTCATTCTTTTGCAAAAATTAAGAGACACAAATTTTTGAAAATGGTGCGAAATGTCTCCTTGTCCTTTTGCTCCTTCACCATCGTGGGAGGAATACTCCACTGTGAGTAGCAACCCCCCAGTTGAACAGGCTATAAAACGGTTCATGCCATTTTGGGGCACACCCCAAAGCTCCTGCTTCTTACCCCCTTCGTCATTACAATTGATTAAAATTCTATTGTTCGTACTAATCATATTTTTTCTTTTCTCATTTGTTAGTTCCAAGTAGTGGGACTTGTCTTTTAAGCAAATGTTGAGAAGGTCTCCTGAAGAAGGGACTTCTTCAAAAGTATAACGGAAGGGCTCATTGGTGAGAATTACATTTTCATGTTCGTCTACCAGGAAGGCCTTCATATAGTAATCATTATTCTTGTAAAGAATCAACTTGGAGGAGCCATCCACCATTTGGAGCTTCTCTACATGTTTGCTAAACAGTGTTATTTGGATGGAGGATGGGTACTTGAAATGAACGGGCAAATGGTTCTGCGTTACTATTTCTTGAGTCCCAATATCCCACGTTTTCATGTTTACCAGAATGTTTGATGTGACGTGTTTTTTTTTCCCTCTATCACATCGTATAGTGTAGTACTGCTTGATGGAGAAAAAGGGTTCATATGGGAGTGGTGGAGAACACCCCTTAATGCGGGGACAAAAGAAGTGATATGTTTTTTCTCCTTGGAAAGAGATTCTTCTTGAGCGTTGTACTAGTGACATGATTCCCCACTTGGGCATAAAATCGTATTCGAACAGACGTCTATTGTATAATTTCCACACAGGAAGGTATGGCTCATTCCAATTTTCATAAAACACTTCTCCACTAAAAATATTCCTATGCTGGGGCATGCCTCCCTTCCGCTGCTCATTTAGATACAAGTCATTATGAAACTTTTCCGCAATAAACAAACTTCTGAAGAAAGAAGCAGAGGTGGGGAGATCCCTTCTCTCGTGGAGGAATCTATTTGGTTGAAGAACCAGTTCGGGGATATTAGACTCAGAGGACACATTGACCTTGTATGAATCGACTGCAAACCCATCATACACAATGAGATTTATCATTTCACCAAATTTTATGAATTTGCTACACACAAAATCGTGGCAAAAAATGGCTTTAACTTTTTTAAATACTTGGACACTTATTTGGGTTTGTATTCTGCTATCCTTTGTATATTCCATGTAGAGTGGGATCGACCTCTTCTCCTTTTTCCCTTTTAATTGATAAAATGCGCATGCGTTCTTGTAAGTATCATCCACTTTGAGAAAGCTTGAGTGTTTTTTTACAACTTCGAGGTAGTTCTTGTCATGCCTTATCCTCATGTGGTGACGTACTACGTCAAAGCAGCTGCTAATGGGCGTCCCTCCATGTAGAGATCCCATTCGTTTGAAGTGCCCATTTTGGCTCCTTCCCAGTAAGGTCATGCCACCTGGACACTGCATATTCGTAGTGATCCAACCCATGCGCATAAATATGTAGACATTCGTAACTTCGTTCACTTCGATGATACTCTTCTGGACCACAGCGGAGAGATGGATCATCCTGTCTCCTACATATACAGTGCTCAGGAAGCAGTTATTTAAATGAGAGTCATCACAAAATAGCAGGCATATTATATCAAACCTGTTTTTACTACTGGGTGGGATGCCTTTGTTGTACCTCCTTTTCTGGCTATTCCCCTGGGGGGTGATGTCACTCCTCCCTGGTCTCGGCTTCCTAACCGATATGTGCACCTTCGATTCGTCAACGATGACGTCTACGTTTCCACCCCCGTTGTACACCTTTACTGTGCGCCCATTTGCGATATGCACAGTTACCGCATGTTTGTCGGCGTGGTTCTTACTCGGGGGGTGTCTCTTCCCAGCGGTGGCGGCGCTCGCCCCCCCGGTGCACTGGTAAAAAATGGTCTCGTCGGGGAGTACAAACAAAGAGGACATAGACAGGGTACCCCCCTTCATGTAGCACTTTACAGGAGCGGATATGAACACGTCTTTTCTGGACACATAGTCCCCCATGTAGGTCATCTCAAGAGAGACTTCCCCTCCTTTTCTTATAGGCATAAAATAGTAAGCCCCATACTCGGGAAAAAAGTGCAAAGGGAGAATGCTTAACTTGTGACCTTTGGAAGAGACTGTCGTCAATTTGACTTCCCCTCCTTTGTACACACCGTGCAATTTTGCATCTCCTTCTCCGTACAGCTGCATAAGGCACAGGTACTTTCTGTGGAGGATAAATTTTTCTCCTTGGTCCCCTTGTACATTTGATTGGAAAAAGGATTCAATGTGTAGGTTATCCAAATAGTAGTGTTCTTTGTAGACAAAGTGTCTTCTTATTAGCTCAATTTCGCCCTCAATAGTGTTGTTCCTTCTGCGGTTCTGGGGTAACGCAGACGTATCTTTATTAGGGTTATCACTGCCCGGAGTTTCCCTCCCTATGTAGCTGAAACAGGCGAGCTTGCTCTTCACCACCTTATGAATATTCACACGAGAAGAGAAAGCTTGCCCGCTGTGTACACTTTTGACAACTATCTGTAGGCTCTGCCCACTTGTGCCTTCCTTAATTTTTACCATTTCCTCCGACGCGATATCGTAACTTGGGCTCTGCTGAATTCGGTAGTCATTTCGGAAATGTGTTACGTAGTTTTTCTTTATACACTTGATTAACAAGAAGTCACTTACATGTCGCTTTATGGGATGTCTTGCCTGCACGTGGGTGCTTAGCATCGCGGCTATTATTGCCTTTCTACGGAAGGGCGACGTACGCAGGATGTGTCTCTTTATAAGAGCTGTGCAGGAGAAATGGCTACAATCGCTATTATTATCATCCTCATTCATATTACCACTTTGATAGTCAGTATGGTTGTTTGTTCCTGTTGAGTGGGGGGGACGATCCCTTTTGAGGACCAGCCGCACGAGGGCCCCTTCCGGGAAGTCCACCCCGTGTGGCACCAACGACAACCACTCGTACACAAATACAGTGACGACAAAAAAGAGGGTCTTACACTTGTTCAGAAGCACTATGATAATTCTTGTTATGCCTACCTTTCCCTTTGTTCTGAACTGCAACTCCAACTCTCCTCCTTTCCCATTTCTAACATGTGCATGTCCTATGTACACCTCATCGAAGAATACATTAAAATGGCTAGTTTCTGATGATATGCTTATTTTCTTCCCATTTCCAGAAATGACATATATATTTCTGTTTTCACTCTTCCTTTTATACGTAATTATTTCGCTGCTGATCATGTAAAGTTGACTAGAGACAAGGTACTCCACAGCGATGTACTTTTTCTTCTCTCCTTGGCTGTTCACTTGTACAAAAAAGGAAGATACAGATTTACATGCTGCTTTTTTTTTATTTAACATAATGAGAATTTCGCTTGTGCATATGTCGTCGCTGGTGATGGTGACGCTCCTTCCAGGGGGGTCTCTGTCTCTCCAGGGGAGGGGCCGTTCCCCTTCTGCATTTCCACCTGTTTTTCCTGCCGCTTCCTCACCTTTCCTGCTCTTGGTAGGCTTATCTGTCCCCAAATAGACGATCTCGAAAAAGTCTTCGCTCAGGAAATACCACCAGGAGCACTTATCCTGCGCGCCCGACCCATAATAACGCAGATTCTTGTCGTCATTTAAATTGTTAAACGAAATGAAGTCATCGTATATAATATCATTTTTTCTGCTTTTTGTGAAGGACGCGAGGAGGTAGGCCAGAAAGAGTAGTCCCATCTTTTTTTTTTTTTAATTATTTTTTTATTTTATTTTTGGTCCAATTTATTATCCAGTTCATTTTCTAAAATGGCTTAGCAGGGAGGTGATCATCCCGTGCGGTTCGTGTGAGCAGTAGATCCAACAGGTCCCCGGTTTGATCATTTTTAGGCAGAATGGAGAAGTGTGTGTGTGTGTGGAGGGGACTCTCCTCGGGCACGAACATGTGGAGAGCACAGATACGCGCAACCAAGCACAGTTGCCTTTCACCCCCCAAGGAGAAAAAAAAAAAAAAAAAAAAAACGCATAAACATGACACGCACACACAGCGTGTCCGTTTTCGTAGCCTACAATTGTGCATACTTCACCGCATCCTGCGTCGACAGTTACGTAACCTCAAACTGCTTTTCTTTCGCAGGAATCTCATGTATTCTTTACACATACCCCTGGGCACCTGTTCACTTTGATATGTTGCGGAGCAAACCCTATTGGTACACTCACATGGAGGTGGTTTTTTTTTTTTTTTTTTTTTTTTTGGGCTTATTTTTACAAACAAAGGGGAGAAAATTTAAAGTTTAAAATAAAAGCGCGCAGTGGCACTGGGCCATGAAAACAGAAAAACAAATGTAAAGGGCAAAGTGCAAGTTGGGCACTCACGGATAGTGTGAAATGGGAATAAGCAACGCGTCAATGAAGCGGGGGATAAGGTCCAAAAGGGTGCTTCTATAGTGGCCGTGACCACGAAGCAGCACGGTTAGGCATATACCGCGGGGAGGAAAAATGGGAAGATGTCACAGGGGACACCATCCAAGGGTGGGTCATCCCAGAGTGGAACATCCTGGCTACCCCCGTATGGGCGTACGCCTTATATGGCGTTACACCGCTACACCGCTACACCTTGCGGAATTGGGCCTTGCTAGAGAAGTACTTGTTCTCGACGGGGTCGGGCCTCGGGTTGACGACGGAAGGGTTGAACAGCTCGATGCCCTGCAGGGGGGTGAAGATCAGGGAAGACGACAAACCACCAGTTACTCCACTGGAGTGCACGGACAGGTTCTTCTTCTTCGCCACATTATTCACCTTCTGCTTAGACTGGTACTTCAATTTTGTGATATTTGAGTTTAGCAAAATTGCATTTTGGTCGGTGAATGTGTAAAAGTCTTCATTCGAGTTGGGTCCAAAGGGCAACCTATTAATCTGTTTCCTCAGTTCAGTGATCTCCGTTTTTTCTTTTAATTTTCTATATCTCTTTCCTCCTCTTTTTCGTTTCCTCTTCTCATCTGGCATGGGGAGGATTTTTTTCTGTTTCATTGGAGGCGGTTCTTGTAATTTGATTAAATGACTTATTAAGTTTTCTCGTAGTAGTAATCCATATTGTCCCTCAGGATATTTTTTAAAGTAGTCGACTCTAGATGCTAGACTACACTTACCAGCCAGTAAACTGATGGCTTTTTTTTTATATGCATCAGGAACGCTCTGTACAATTTCAGAGGTACTTAATATGCCTATTCCGAATGTCTTCCGTACATTACTAAGCCCAAGGACTGACTTCTTCGAGCTACCTACCACTATAAGGTTTTGAGATGATGTGATGGAAAGATTTTTTAAAGACCCCACGGAACTAATTAAACGAGCTGTTAATGCACTACCTAGCAGCATGGTCAAATTTGGGGCCAGCAAAAACATCTTGCTCTCTAAATATAGCAAAATCATTTTTCTGTTTTCGTTTAATTCTAATGCTTCATTGCAGAAGAATAGGCAAGTCTTTAAGGCGTGGTCTGATAAGTTTATCCCTGTGCTCATACTTGAGGCGACGGTGATAGCCATAACAGTAGTGTTCGGCAAAATATCGGAGAAATCAATATTTTTCAAATCACTTTCGTTTTTTATTTTGCTCACTACACTGATGTACTCCAGAGGGGTATACACGATGGAGTCCAACTCTGGGAATTTCGTCGAGTAAATATCCTTCACGTATTTGTGGATGTTTAGGATTTCGGTGTCTATTTGTATTATGAGTTCGATGCATTTTTCGATCAGCACTTCGTCTGCGTTCTTGGAAGCAGCGGCGTCCTCATCATCATCCTCATCATCCTCTTCTGACTCATGCGCCTCTTCGCCTTCTCCAGATGAATGCCCTTTTCTCCTTCGCTTTTTAGCCCGACGGGCTTCTCCAGCTTCCGCATCTTCATCATCCTCTTCTGCGCCTTCCTCTCCTTCAGCGTTCTTCTTCTTCTTTTCTTCCTCCTCCATGACATAGTTCCTGATGCTGTTCATTATTTTAAGGAAGTCGTCGTCATACAGTAGTTCAGATATTTTCCTTTCCTTTTTTTTTATTTTTTCGTTTAGGAACTCTTCGATCGCATCCACAATTTCTTCGTAATCATCGTCCTGGAACTTCGCCTCTTGCCCATGCTCTTCCACATGACTGCCTTTGTCAGTTTCGCCCTGTTCACCTTCATTTTTTTCTGCATTAAAATTGATAAAGTTATTTTCTTCTTCAAACTCCAGGTCTTCGAGGTCCTGAAGGAACGTGTCCGCCAGGGTCGCCTGCAAAATGGGGGGAAGAAAAGGGCGCGAACACAGCGATATGTGTTTCGGTTCCACATACGCGTAACATTGCTACGATCCGATGGGAGAAGCATCGTTATCCTGTTACACGTAGAGACTAAATATGCTCAAGGGAGTTGTTTTTCTGCACAGAACCAATTACAAACGGACGTGTTTGCTGCACTTCTGGGGGGTACAACAAAGGAATCGCGGTGACGTTGGACACTTACCATTTTGCCTGGCCTTCATACAATGTGTATAACTCTGCTTTACGCGGGTATTCCGCTAAATGAGACGCTTTCCCCTGTTTTGTGAGCGCAAAGGGGGGAAACTCAGTCTGGCAGGGGTAAACGGAACGCCCCCTCGCCTGTCGGGCATTCACTTGTGAATTGGCATTTGGGGACCCACCATACGTTTTCTCGCTGTACCCGAAATTCAGCTCTCAGCTGATGCGTTGATAAGGTGACTGCGCGGGGATACGATATTTTGTTATGCAACATAATCACCTGTTCTCTTTCACTGTTCCTGCGCCCTTCTGAAGAATCTTTCAACGAATTGGAATTTCCATTCTGGGTTCTCCGGAACCTGGGGCAGCTAATTTAGGTGAAAAAAAAAAAAAAAATTCGCCCCAAAAAATTGAGCGGTACTGCGCAAAAAAAAAAAAAAAAAAAAAAAAAAAATAATAAATAAAAATGTACATAACAATACCTACTCATATGTACATATCGCAGCAAAAAATCGCAACGCCGACGTTGTGCCAACCAACCATTTTTTTTTTTAAGTTCAGTCAAAGAGAAGCATTTCACCACAGCGAGGGCCACCAACAGAAGCATCATCTTACTAAAGGGGACAGCGCATAGCAGTTGCGGTTGTTCAGTTGGGCACAACATTAAAAGCTAACGATCTAGCGAAGGAAGTGCCCTCTATGTTTTTCGCATAAATTGGATGAACTACGCAGAAGAAAAAAAAGCGGCAATTTACAAAGAAAATTGCCGAGCAGGGATTGGTCAGGGGAGACAGCGCATCCCGTGGAGTCTGCCGCGAAAGAGTTGACCCGCGGGTTGCACGGAAGAGCCGCTTGACCAAACCAACATGGAAGTTAAAATCCTGCACAGGAACCCAGAGGAATACAGAAACAACCCGGGGGCCTCGACGTACAAGCATAGCAGAAACGTCGACCCTAACATTCACCTCTTCCAAAGAGAAATAGAATATAAGAGGGCCCTAAATGCAACGAAAATAGATAAAATATTTGCAAAGCCATTAGTGAAGTGTTTGGATGGACACGACGATTCAGTCCGAGCACTCTGCGTATCAAATAAATCTCTAACAGATTTGTACAGCGGGAGTTGTAATGGCTTCATTAACATTTGGAATGTACTGAATAAAACATTAATTAGAAAAGTGAAGGCCCATGAAGGATTTGTGAGGGGGCTGTGCGTCAGTCATGACGAGAAATTCCTCTTCAGTTGTGGTGACGACAAGTACATTAAGCAGTGGGTTATCGATAAGAGCAGCGGGTTGAGCGAGCTGGGCGGGCAGGATGATGCCAACAGCCTAGCCGCTTCTCACCATGCAGGTGGACAGGGAGCACTTGTGGCAAGCCAAAATATGCAAAACCTGAGCCACCTGTCCGACGAAGTGACTCCAAAAAAAATCTATGTTTGCAAAAGCGTGCCTAACAGCATCGACAAACATTTCTCAGAGCCCCTGATCATATCAGGAAGCCAACACCTAGATGTATGGGATTACTACAGGAACAATGCAATAGCAAGTTTCGATTACAACAGTGAGTATATATATTACGTGAAGTTCAATTATGCACAGAGAAACTTAGTTGGGTTAACCCTGTCGGATAACTCTATAGGGTTAGCTGACATACGAACCAAGACGCCCATCAAGAAGATTTTTTTAAAATACAGATGCAATTCTCTAAGTTGGAATAATATGAACCCTAAACAGTTTGTCGTAGCGAATGAGGACTCTAACCTTTACACCTTTGACATGAGGCACTTAAAAACTGCTACTCTTGTGCACAAAGGATTTGTAAATGCGGTGTTGGATGTAGATTACTCTCCCATTGGAGACAAATTTGTTGCTTGTTCGTATGACAAAACAGTTAGATTATTCAATAGCGATGAATCAAGCAGCTATGACGTCTACCACACAAAGAGAATGCAACATGTCCTGTGCTGTAAGTTTAGCTTAGACACCAAGTACGTGTACACTGGAAGCTCAGACATGTGTATTCGCATTTGGAAATCCTGTGCCCATGAGCCATCGGGTATTTTGTCCAACAAGGAAAAACAGGCCATAAACTACCGAAACAAACTGAAGGAGAAATATTCATCTCTGAAGGAAATTAGACGCATCAGGAATCATCACCATGTGCCTGCGCTCATCAAAAGCATGTCCGACAAAAAGAAGGTGATGCTGGAGGCCAAGAAGAGGCGCGAGAATAACAGAGTCAAGCACTCAAAGGACCCAGATCAGCTTCCCATTCCGGAGAAGAAGAAAATATTCGTGACAGAGCAGTAGCGCGTATTGCGCGTATATAGTGTTAGGGGAGGGGGAGCATGAAACACTGCTTCCTCTTCTTCCTCTGCTCCTTCTCCTGCTTTTTGTTTTTTTTTCTACATTTTGTTCTTTCTTCCTTGTTCTTTCTATGTTCTGCACCCTACCTCTCTTGTACACGAAATTTTCAAGTTAACAAAAAAGCTACACACGAGCCTGTCATCGTCGGGTCAAAAAACCTAAAAGAACGTTGCAGCTGCTTCAGCAGGGAGAAACTGAACTCCAAAACCGCTGAACCCGGGGATTGCGAAACCTGAAACCGTGAACCATAAACCATGAGCACTAAGCTCCAGATCGTAACCCTTAAACTTTGAATCTTGGATCCGGATTCCTAAAACGTGGAATCCGGAACCATGAAACTTGTAAATCTTACGCATATAAAATAGAAAAAGAACAGGAACATATAAAGTCCATACATATATATGGGAACACAGGAATAATCCTATGAGTCCTTACATATGTATTACGACGGCAAAAAACAGAAATAATGTAAGGAGTGTATGTTGTAAAAGAAAAAAGCAGGCCCATAATCTTTGCACATGTGTTAAAAAAAAAAAAGAAAAAAAAAAGCGTATAGTGCTCATATATATTAAATAAAGAAAAAGGAGCCATATAATTCTCATATATATAAGAACAAAAGAACAACCATATAATCCATATATGTACAGAAGAAAAAAAGAACAATTCTATAATCTGTGCATATATACTAACGAATTAAAGAAGGGGGAAAAACAATCATATAAGGCGCATATATATATGAAAAAAAACAAAAGAAAAAAAAAAAAAAAGAATAATGCAATAATCATTTTACATACATATAGAAAAAAAGAAAGAAAGGAAGGAAGAAAGAACAATTCTGTAATCCTTGTATATATATTTTAAAGAAAAAAAAAAAAGATCATATAATGTACATATATATATATAAAAAAAAAAAAAAAAACAACCCCGTGATGTTCGTGTGCAGAAGAAAAAAATGGGAAGAGGAGCCCTGTAACCCAAACCTGTGTATTAGAAAAAGAAAAAAAGAATCATGTACTGCATATATATTTGTCGAAGGGAAAAAAGGAAAGAACAATCCTATAATTGTTGCATGTATATTAAAAAGAAGGGGAAAATAATATATTATATATATATGTATTTAAACAGGGCAAGGGACAGAATGATATTTTTTGCAAATTTTTCAATATGGAGATGGATACTGTGTTGTTGACAATACCCACACTATGTATGATAGGAGTTATTATGTTTCAAGTATTTGTACATTTATTATAATTAACTTCCACGTTATCGCTAAAAATTATAAACCGTCCTCTTTTGTTTGCACTTTATCCTAATCATTGTATAATGCAAAAATTATAAAGGTGTCGCTCTTTTTATATGTTAGGTGACGGAACTGAGTAAAGCGTGGAATCATGTAGCTGGTCAGCATGGCATCTGGGGCGTAAGATCTAAGAGATTATTAAGGAGCGAAATCGGTATGAGAACACTAGAACATTATAACTTCCTTAATGGTCCTTATGGGTACTCCGTTGGGAACAGCATGCCGTGGGAGAAGGTGGAAACAGTATATTCCGAATTCGAGTCAGAAGGATTATTACCGTGGTTACCGGATGAAGCACCGAATGAAAAGATAAGGAGGAAACCCAAAGGATTTCTTAGTGTATTGAAGCATACTATAATTGCGAATAAAATATGGATGTCCTTTACTGTGGCCACTGTTGTTTACTGCATAATAATGTTGGGTGTCTACATTGCTTTGAGTGACACAACATTTATTGTTACATCCCTGGCACTACTTGCGGGGGGAATAGGAATTATGCTGCAGATTCTACTATTGCGGTTGTACAGCAGAAGAACCAAATCAAAAATGTTAGATAAAATTTGGAGATGCAGAATTTTCTCAAGGGGAAACCGCAAACAGAAATGATGGGAAAAAGCACAAGTGACATCATTATTCTGCTGTCCATAGGCAATTTTGATGTTATTGTATAAGTTCATATATTAATGAGACCGAGCTCTATATAGTATTGTGTACTAAGCGCACCATAGGGTATGTTCATATTTGTAGCATTTTGCTCAAAATGCTATTGTACAGTATAATTGTGTTCGTACATTACGGATGAAGATAGTTGGCCCATATATATAATGCGGGTTGTTTATGTAATCATTGTTTAGTAATATTATTAATGGTAAAAGCATTTTGAAAGAAAAAAACAAAAAAAGTCTTGACATATTCTACCTATATATATATAAAGAATAAGTATTTTACATGCTATATGAAACAAATATTACATTGTGCTTCCCATGGATACAACATGTGGCAAGTGCTTTAATAAAATATAACATGCATCTTGTTCTTTTTTCCTCTTGCACACTGCCAAAACTCTGGCGCTGAATTAATATACCCCCTTTGTTGGCACTATAATATTGTACACGATAATAACAACATACCTTATATAGAACATAGCATAAACGGATATAAGGATGCATAGCCTACTACAACAGCATTTACAGGGACAGGAGTTGTCACGCGAACAACATATAGATCCCTTGTTCTACTTCTCACAACTTGTCCAATAGGTCATCCACATATAACTCCCTATCCTGCATACTATTCTCGATTTCGCATTCTTCTATAACGGTGGCGAGGAGGAGCATCAAAAGTTTGTGAGCAGTTAACTCCTCAGTATATCGCAATTCCGGATGGTGGTCGTGCTGTTGTTCTGGGTCTTTTACCTTCGCCAACGCTATATGTTCACCGGCCACGTGCGTTTCTACATGGATTTGTTGTTCCGGCACCTGGGACTCGTCATGGGCGTGCACTATTTTTTCCATTTCTGGTACTTCAGCGTTACCGTATATTACTACTTTCTCCTCCTCGATATGTTCTAATAAATGGTTAAACCACTCCTCCGCGTTATACATACGCATTTGCCGATGTTGTTGGGCAACCCATTGTTTCCACAACCGCAGATACTTCATCTGCAGGGTGGCTGCTTCACGGAGTTCACGGTGACCGTTGTCTTGTTGTTCCGCAATGTGCTCACGCACGTATTGTTTCCATTCCGATTTGAGGGCATTAAACCACTCTTGATCCTTACATTGCCGTAGTATACTTTTGTTACTTTCCATCCAAGGGATCCATTGGGTGCAGTCCGAAGTCGCGTCCCCGGGACCTGTAAGGGGAGGACTCTGTTCCTCTTCTAACTGCATGGTTTCCATACAACTCCATGGATCGGAGTCATCTTCATTAGGTGGAGAAGCGTCCGTTCCTAACTCTATAGTTTCCATACAACTCCATGGATCGGGGTCGTCTTCGTTAGGTCGACAAGGGTCCGTTGCTAACTGTATGTTTTCCATACAACTGCATGGATCGGGGTGCTCTGCGTTACGTGGAGATGCGTCCGTTCCGTCGAAGTCAGTGGATGGATCCACGGTGGATGAAACATTGATCCCTGATAAAGCCTGGTCTGACGTAGAAACACCCAAGATACTGTTATTCGTGGCCTCGTCCCGCATCAAATCCTGCGCAAACTCCTGCACGAGTATGTGCAAATAGTCGTCTTTGACGTTTTCCCACGCGGCCGTCTCGCATTCGTTGAGCACTTCTAAATGTAGCTCGATGATGGTGCGCTTATTCACGCATGCGTGACGTCGTCGGCGGGCGGCGGGCAATCTGCCGGGCTGCCTATCCCTAATCAAGGTGTACCCGTAATCGGGTGGCGGCTCGCCGCGTTGTAGATGCTCCAATATTTCTTCGTCGAGTGGCGGTGACGGCACGTCCCGAACGGTGCGATATGTTCGTCGTCGTTTGGCGAGGTACGCAAAGTACTACAAAACAAGAAAAAGAAGGACGATGTAGAAGAGTGCATTTGTGTTAGGATGGTCTGAACAGCCCCCTTAGAAACACATTTTTCTATGGTACATATTGCGGATACGCATACACGGTGTCGCGTCGTATGTGGTTGTGCGTTGTGTGTGCTTACTTTGCCAAGGAAAAAGAGCAGGATAAGGGAACTGACGCATGCAAAGAAGATAAGAACAGGAGTAGAAAGGAAGATGTCTGTCGCAGTAAAGATGGGGAGGACAGTATTGTCGGGGTTCTTATCGGGCGCCTTACCTGTCGTATCTAAGTGTATAAATTGTGGCCTGCCTTGGGCGAAGCCACCACCAGGATTACGACCTTCAGAGATGCCAGGGTCATCCAAGGACAGACCAGGAACTTTATGCGGGACACCACTGTCGCCGGTATAAGCTTTATCTTGGGGTCCACCTCGTGCACCTTTTCCCCCTACTTTACTACCTGCTGCCCTGGTACCGTGGACGGTGGGTACTGAGGCAGAAGCAGGATCGGATGCACCCGTGTCAGAACCTCGGGGGGTAATATTAGCGGGGGGAACACCATTAATGAACGTCCAGAAATCATCGTCATGATCGAGGTTCCAGGGCGGTGAGATATCCTTGGACTTGCTACCGGACTTATCATTTGTAATATCACTTGTACCCTCGGTCGAGGTAGCTGTGTTCTCTCCTGAAGTATCCGGTGTTTGTGTGGAAGGTGTTTGCGTTGACTGAGCTGGGCTTGGGGTGGCAGTTGCAGATGATGGTTCCGTCGGTGTCACCTGGTCCTTCTTCTTTTCAGGTGCTGATGCTGATGCTCCTGTTGCTAGTTCTTCTTCTTTCGGTGCTACTGCCGCTGGTGCTTCTGCTGGTGGTTCCGGCGATGCCGATACGGGTGGTGGTGCCGGTGGCGGCGGTTCATCAACGTTCCCTAAGCTTCCTGCCCGTTCTGCTTCAACCGGTTTCGGTGATGATGCTCCTTCTGCTTCTTTCTGGGCAGGCTGCGATCCTTCCTTTTTATCTGGCCCGCTTGGTGCTGATATTACCTGTGTGCCCTGTGACGGCCCTGGTGATCCCGACTGTCCGTGTCCTTTTACTTTTGGAGCTTTCGGAACAGAGTCCTTCTGTTTCTCTTCCTCTATTATAGTCTTCACACATTCTTTAGTTTTACATGTTTTTAATTTGGGTAGTATTCTCTCTATCTTCTTCGCCATATCCTGCCCAACCTCTTCCATTTCATCTTGCACTTTCTTTTTCAATTCACGTGCCTTGTCTTGCTGTTCCTTACTCCCTGTTTTTTCCAATTTACAATCCGCCCCCAGTACTCCATAATCCCCGTCCTTTAGTCTAACCCTGTTGGCGACGAGCCATCGTTGCATTATTTCCCAGAAAGTTCTATTTTCCGCTGTTATTCCCTTCACACCCCCTTCCCCTGCGTCCTTCTCTTCACAGGAAATATTACCTACCTTCTTTTTTTTGACATCTCCAAGAACGCCATGTGCTAAATTAAATGCAAACTGTCCACCAGGTCCCTGTAAACAATTCATGCCCATTATTTTCTTCATAAATATATTTACTAGAATACATCTCATATAGAGGTCTATCTTGCTCTCCTTTTCGTCCGTGTAGGTCCGGCTTATAGGGGTCCCGTTTATATCAATCCCATGCTTAAAATGTAATGCTATTAGTGTTAATTCACACATATCCTTGTCCTTTTCATCCAACGGTTCATCAGTGTCTGGGTCAGCCTCTACATCACACATTGCTCTCATTTGACCCTGATGTTCCATGTCCTTCATGTAATCCTTAAAGTCCTTCCATTTGTTCTCTACATTTGTCCAGAAAATATCCTACATGCATATAGTTCTTATGTATGCCTGTATGAATTATATTCCCTTCTGCACTGTACGTGCCTATATAATGCTGTACATAATTATACTTCCCTTTTTATATTTATGTTCCTCCGGGTCTTATAGAAATTGTAGTAGTTCACAACATGAATACACACACCTCACGAACATATTCGCTAATTACTGCTAATGCTGTTGCATAATACAAAACAATTCTTTCTTTATATTCCTCATATACTTGAACTTACCACCCAGTCCTTGATATTGTTCTCCTTTACCCCTATATCTCTTTTCTCAATAAACTTATCCCATAATAATATTAAATAGTTCCACATGGCTCCCCCCGATCCGGGTCCTGCCTTTACTTGCGGTGTGACTGTACAAGACGAAATAATGAATGAAGGGTTAAGATTATGAATGCTGTACACTATGTAAATTCCGCAAAAGACTCAGATGGACGCACATTAACGTACGTCTGTGCCTTTTCTTCCGTCGTACTCTTCTTCCTCTACTTGTTTGAGGAAGACGGACTGTGAGGGGGATGATGTTGTTCTAAGAATCATCCCCGTCTCCCTTTTCTGAGCACGTTTTTGAATGTTTTGCCCAGTCACATGTTCGTGATGCACGAATACGTTCTCCTCATGGATGTATGTTCATCACGACGCATGTGTTTTGTCCGGACGCACATGTGTTCTTACGAACGTGTTTCGGACAGTTTTGTGCTTACCATTTTTAGTGTCCGTCGTATTCTTCGACTTCAGCTGTATTTCCGTGTGTCCTTCTTTCTTGTTTACATCGGGCTGCTCAGTTTGCACTGGTCCTGTACAGTCTTTCCTTATTCCTTGCCTCTCTATCCCTTTTACTATGTCTCCATTGGATTTTAGCAAACTTTTAATTTTTTTTTTTGCTTGTGCATTCCATCCACCCCCGTATCCAAGCATGTCCCTGTTACATTTCCCATCCATAATTAAATTTTGCATGTTAGGTAACTCCATTTTCTTCATTACATACCATGCGTAGTCTATACCCCGCGTTGCATCACAAAAAAATTCCTCCAGTTTGTACATAAATATATTTGCTAAAGCACACTTCACAAATGCCTCAGTGTCCCCTACACCAACTTTAGTTCTTTGCTTACACGTTCCTGCCATAGTCCACCCATTAGCAAACAGTAATGCACCTGTCATTGAGGTGCATGCAGTTCTATCATCCTGAGTCAGCGTCATACTGGATCGGTGTTTATCCTTCTCCTGTTCGTCCAAATACTCCAAGGACAAGCTACTACAGTTAGAACCGTACGGCCCAATCCAACTCTTGTCTCTCATATGTTGCATGAGTTCTCCATAGTGCGCCGGTATACTGTCTATTAATGTTTTCTGCAAGGAACATATGTTACATATATATTAATTATACCCTGCTGCCATATTCTGCAGTACATGACCGAAGTATTCACATATCACTATTCTACATCAATGTTTCATGTATCTAGGTGATAGTGGAGTTTCATAAGCCCTACTTATATATTGTGCGTGTGGTAGTCTCACTAATTTACACTGACGCCTACGCATTCCTTATTTATATTTTTGTTCAACTATGTATTCTTTTAGCCTTACTATTTGCGGTAACCTTGGGTTTAGTGCTCCTAATTTGTTTTCCTTGATATACAACAATAGTATTTCTTTCAGTAACTCGTAATCCATATTGTCCGTGTGCCTTCCATTATATAACTTTAATTCCTGGATAGTTCTTATATGTCCCTTAATCTGTTGTACACAGACAGAAAGGAAGAGCGCCTCTTTCTAACAGAAAGTATACATCAGTCCTACATTTGGCATGTTCCACATGTTGCGCACCTTGCCCTTATGTTCGGTTTCCGTCCCACATGGTTCTCGTTTGTGTTGCTCCTGTATCATGCATTCGATAGAATAAGGTCGTCGTCGTCATCCTACGCAATTTTTCTACAACATCGGAATCATCCTACAAGTTGCTTTATCATGTGGGCCCATATACGTATGTGTATTGTACAGTGTAGAAGGAAGAAGAACAACAACATTACATAGGAAAAAACTACATGTTTATACCGGTCCTTCATGCGCGGAAACTGCGGCCCGTATTCAGAAAAACGACGTACACCACATGCATGAACCGGATGATACATATACATGCACGTAAAAAAATATTTCAATACCGTTTCTAATATGTATCTACTTGCACTTCCACGTTCACTTCCACCAGGGGGAAGTAGTAAAAGAGCAAGGAAACAAAAGCAACACAAGGAACAACAAAAAACATACGAGCAGCTACAGAAGCAGCAGGGCGTAGAGAACGCTGGAGACCGAGCTGTGGAACGTGCTGCGGAAAGCACCTGATCCTTATTGGAACATAAGGGAAACAAAAAAAAAAAAAAAAAAAAAGGGCTCATATAATAAAAGCCCTATTAGAATAAGAACAAAAAAAACACAACAAATATGAACCAAAAAAAAACAAAAAATACGAACAAAACAAACGACAAATACGAACTAAAAAAAAAAAAAGAAAGAAACAAAGGAACACAAGATAAAAACGAAGAAGAATGAGAAAGCAGAAAAAAAAAAAAAAAAAAAAGAAAAAGAAAAAAAAACTTCTTTTATACACCCGAGTAGGAGCACCCCCCCGAATGAGGTCCCTTAAAAGGCAGGAAAGCGTGGGAGTGACAGCAGGTACCTTTATTCCAAAAAGTGGAACGTTCGGAAAATAAAAGCTACATACAACACAAGCCCATAGTACAAGAGTCGCATACAAAAAAAGTGCACATAATAGAAGCAACGAAATTAACAACAAAAAATCCGAGAAAAAACATGCAAAAGTAAGAACAAAAAAGCAAAAGAGAGGAAAAAAAGAAAAAAATGGAAGAAGAAAAAAACAAAGAAAAGAAGCAAAGAAACAAGAAAAAAAAATTTCTGTACGCCCGAATCGGAACACTTATACACAAAAAATAAGGCCTCGAACACATGGCACCGAGAAGTCTCCGATAAGGAGAAAAAGAGGGAAAGTAAAGGAAAAGGGGAAAAGTACCCCATACATCCCATAATAAGAATAATATATGAATTGGCCCACATATGCCACATTACAAGTATGTCAAAGAAAAAGAGTGAGGGACGCGCGTGGAAGAAATTCGCCCTGCCCTGCCCCGCGCCGCTCGCACGATGGCAGCTCGATGAAAGCATCACAAAGAGCACACCCGGAGAATGGAAAAAAAAAAAAAAAAAAAGGGAACAGGAAACAGAATAAAAAGGAAATGAAAAAAAAAATAAAATAAAAGAGAAAATAAGAGTAACGAAGGTTAAAAAAAAAAAAGCTTTGCTATAACCATAGTTCCTATAGAAAAAAAAAAAAAGAAAAAAGTCTGTACTATTATCCTTAGGTCCTAAGAGTAAAAAAAAAAAAATTGTTCTCTCTACAGATTTGTTTAAGCAGCAAAAAAAAAAAAAATAAGCCCAAATGAAAAAACTCTCCATAGAGAAAAGAAAATAACAAATGAGGAAGGAACGTGTGGCCCTCTTAGGGGAAACATAAAAGCATTAAAAATTTTCCCGTTTCCTCATTTTCCTTTGCGTTTCCCCGTATCTATTTGGAAGACGCTTACGGGAAAAATTGGGCATAAGAGGAAAAAAGAAAGGAAGAAGGAAAACAAAGGAGCGAAAAAAAGAAGAAGAAAGGAAAAAGAGGAAGGAAGGAAGAAAGGGGGTGGTAGGTCTCGTGGGCATGCGGTCGTCTCGATGTATAGGTCTGGATGGAGTGTACTCGGTGGACTGCCTGCACAGGGATGGGATGGTAGCAGTACAACTTTTATTTGTTGTCGCCGTCATCTCGCTACCGCTGCCGCTGCCGTCGTGGACGTTCAACGCAGACATGTGCGTTGTTGTTGCCCGGTGTGCGTGTTTGTGGCCTTCGCGTTGTTCTCCCCGCCTGCGTGTTGTTGTTGGTGGCGGCGTCCATACTATTCGTACGGTACGTGCCGGACGATTATTCGTATCCGACTGTATACTCGTATTCATACATGTCATATTGGTATTCTTACTATTCGTATCCGTACTATGCGTATTCGTACCTGTGTGTTTATCAATTTCCTGCTGCACCTTGTCCTTCGCCCCCTCAAAGGCCTTCTTTGCTTCGTCCCTTATTTCCTTCTCTACTTCCTGCATCTTCTGAATTCCAGGTTGTGTCAAAATTTTACTGATATCTCTCTCTCCTTCTTTTGCGTTCTCCTGAATATACTTTTCCCAATACTGCTCACAGGGCCAATCGCGCTCCATTTTTTGTATTTCTTCCATTATTCCGGCATTATACAATAACCATTCTGCTATCTTCCAATTTATTGCTGTTATGTTCCTTGTATGACCTACATATCCACACATTGTGCACGTTCCGTCCATTACAGGGCCTTGCAGCGCTCCATGTCCACTTTGCCCTTGGCTTTGCATATTCTTGAATGTTTGCCAAGCATACTCTGTACCTCTTGTAAACGGAGTCTTACGTTCACAATACTTGGTTTTCAATAAGTGCCCCAAAACATGGGCCACTTCACATCTTAACCTGTTGACGTCCTCATTGTGTCCCGGCTGGTTTGCAAACCACAAGGCTCCCGACATGATTCTACACCGCATCATATCGGGCACCCTCTGTGCCTTATAGTATGTAACGTCGTTCATATCATTCCAAGATTTATTGTCACAGTTGGCACCAAGTGCGTCAAAGTTATCAGTATTGTCCCTCAAATGTGCAATAAACTCCTCCAACACCTTCTTCACGGGTTCCCAATCTTTTTCCTAAATGTTGCACATGCAAATAAAAAAATATGCGTGTAAACACTTCACTTCCATGCTACCCGTCGGATGCGTCGATACCTGCACATATGCATGTAACTTTATGAATAAATTATCGTTGCCTTCTATTCCTATGTCTTTCCCTTTATTCCTGTTCCTTTCTCTCTTTACGCTAACTTACAGTATACTGATGCCCCACGTAGATTGCCCTGGGCTTCCACTCCGATATTTTCTTCCCCAGACACTCCTCCCGTTCGGTCTTCGCCCTCATCGTCGTTGACGTCGTTCCCGATGACGTCGTCTCCTTCGTTGCCACCGGTTTCGCCGCTACTGGTTTGGCCGGGGCGGGTTTAGCCGGGGCGGGTTTCTCAGAGCCGGGCTGTGGTGACCGTGTTTCTGAGTCTGACTTGCCTTGTGGTGGTGATGGTGCTCCTGGTGATGGATCCGCCGCGGAAGTACTCTTCGGATCCTTCGGTTCCCCAGTACCTGTAGAGTCAGGTAGGTGGAAGAAACGTGTGCACACTGAACTTATGTTTAGGATGCTTGCCCACACGGTCGGCTGACGACGGTTGTTGTGGTCCATCGCTCACGGTTGGCCACGGTGCGAACGGTGGTTGGCTGGTGCCACCACGGGAAAAGGCTCGCTCTCTGTCGCACCCACACAACACTCACAACACACAACACACACAGTGTGTGTGTCGGTCTGCATCTACGTCGACGTCTCTACGTCTCTACCTGGACGTGTACAGCGCGCGGCCGACCGTTCGGTCTGTCGCTCTGCCGCTGTCATTCTCATTCGACGTTGGGTTTCTCTCTCTCCGTGTTGTCTCTCACTCTCTCCGGAGAATTGTTGTTTCTTTTTTTTTTTTTTTTTGTTTTTTACTACTATTCCCTTCTTTGGGACATGGATCCGTGTACTGTGATGAACACTGTCAGCTGAGGACACTGTTTTTGCTACTCTGTAAAGTGGAGTACTCAGGGGTGGTATTCCCTTTACCTTTACATTCAGGTCCAGGTACAAATGCAATGCTAACTCTTCCGGTCCCTAAGGTTTCCTCATTAACATTCTTGGGGCACGTAGTTTCCTTACCTTTGCTTTCTGTGGGTACCTGCGTAGGATGTTGTCCTGCTCCCTTGGGTCCCTCTGTTCCTACTCCACTGTCTGGTGGTGGAGGTGGTGGTGGTGGTCTTGCTGGTAATACTGGGGATGCCGGTACTTGTGGTGCCGATCCTGCTCCTGGTGGCGACCCCGACTGTGACCTGCCGCCTCCGGTATCCTCGAGTTTGGGTACTGATACTCCTCCTCCTGATGGTGATCTTGGCTTCGGTGGCGGCGCAGGTGGTCTTACTTCGTCATTCGATGAGGCGCTGGCGCCCTGTCCTTTTTTTTTATCTTCTGGTGCAGCTGCAAAGAACAAAGACAGAAGGAAGATGATAAAGTAGAGGAAGGTGTTAGAAAAAAGCGGAGGGGACTCATCAAAAACGAAGGAACGGTGGTCGGCTCGACGACGGGCACAGTCGGCGCGTTGCATGGGCCGAGATGGACTCGGTGGACTGGGTGAGGCGACAGCAAGCGTACGGTGAGGTGGATACATGGTAGTAGTACCCTTTTATTTGTTGTCGCCGTCCCTGCTCGCCGATCCGTCATCTCGTCGTCCTGTGTCCCTCGTCGCCGCTACTGCTGCCGTTGTGGCAGCCGCCGTGCTCGGCTCAACGAAGGGACCGTGCTGTTGTTCCGCCGTTCATGCATGTTGTTGTGGCCGTTGCGTTTGTGGTGGCGGCATGCGTATGCGCAGTCGTATTGGTGGCGATCGTGTCCGTGCCGTCCGTGTTAATATGCGGCCGTGTGCGTACTGTGCGTGTTGCTCTTGCCCGTATTAGTAGCACTCTGTTCCTTTACTGTTCTTACCATTCGCGTCCGCCTTCTCATCGTCATCATCGTCCTCATCATCGTCGTCGTCCTCATCATGGTCGTCGTCGGAGTCTTCGGCCTGATAGTGAGTAATTGGGGATTTAGCATGTTCCCTCGCGTTTTGCATTACTCCTTTTTTCAGCTTCCGCACCAATACCTTGATTTTTTTCCCTAATTGCTGTATAACTTGCGTCTCCTCTTTCTTCAGTTCTATCTTTTCATCCATCTTATGTTTACCCTGCGTGGCCCCGTCAAGTTCTTCTAGTTTTTTCGTACATATGCGTTGTATGCGTGGCCCTGCAAATTTTTGAGTCAAGCTTTTGTTGTTCTCTAACCATCCCTTAATCTCTGTTCCCATGTCGAAGTTCTGTGTTTGTATGTTTTCAAACACTCCCTGCCCACATTTACTTGTGGTTATTAAACCACCCCCTGGCCCGTCTTCCAGCTGTTTCATGGTGTGCCATGCATTATGTATGCCCATTTTACTTCTGCATGGAGTTGCCAGCAGTATGGACATAAATATATTTACTATGGCGCACCTTATATATTCCTTCAACGGTTCATTATTAGGGTCGTTAGTTTTCGAACCGCTGGACTGCGGGCGCCACCCATTCATGAAATATAATGCTCCTGTCATGAGTCTGCACATAAGTCTGTCGCCCACCGTCCTCGCGTACACTGGTCGTTCATACCCCGGATACTTGTAACCCGCGTTCAAACAATTAGCTGCATAGCTGTCTAGGTTGTCATCTTCCAAACTTGCCACAAATTCTGTGAGCAGCGCTCTTGTATCTGTCCATAAACTTGTCTACAATTGCAGTAAGGCGAAGGCGAATACATATATTCCATTTTGATATTTTCACAGGACGATGCTCACTTTGCCCTGTCCTATATTACATTCTAATTCTGGGATCCTATGCTCACATCGGGCATATGCGTCCCGTTCAAGTAACGTGAACATATCTATGATGCAAACTGAGTACCCTGTGTATCGTCCACGTATACACATGCATATGCATAGGCGCTTTCTGTCTCCATTTTTCCCTCACAATAAATTACCATATATCCTGTTCCATCCCCCCCTAGTGCCCTTGCCCGCACATATTGTGCTAATAAAGCCCCTAACGTCTCATACGACATATTGTCTCAACCATAAACCAATATAATGGAACGAATGATATCATGATCTCTCAGATAACGGCTTGAGTATAATATGCGCACAATATTCTATTACGTATTATGCAGTTTCTTAGGCAATTGAATATGTCTTGCCTTATAGGGTTCCTTCTGAAAAATGTCCCATTAACAAACTATCCCCTATCTGAAGTTAAGCACACATCCCATAACGCGTGGGATTTGGAAGAAGGAAAAAAATGAAATCAAATAAGGGAAACAAGAAAAAAAAAGTGATGCACAAACAACACATCCCTACAAATTCTTAACAACATGCTGTACACAATACAGAGCAGACTCTTTCTCTCTTGTACACATGAAGAATGTCCCCCCGGCAGAGAAGACAAAAAAAAACAAGGAACAAAAGCCTAGAAAACAAAAAAAAAAAAAAAAAAGGAAAAAAAATATAAAAATCACTACTCACTGTCATGAATACAACGCCCCCCCGCCCTTTCTACACCGGTCTCCACTGAACGCCTGTCACACACACTGTCTCTGTGTGTGCGTACACCTAAAAACCGCAGTATAACAACAACAACAATTTTTCTTCCGTCGTTGTCGCATCCTCGTAGGAACGAGGAGCATTGTCTCTCCGAGCAAACGCATGCGACGAAGTAGCCGAGTGTAAGAACGATTCGACGAAGTAGCGGAGTGAGGGATCCAGAGAGGGAGCATAGAGCAGCAGCAGACAGAGCGGGGTGGCGGAGAAGGAACAAACATATTGTGTGGGGCAGCAATAACGGCGTCAACGACGGCAGAACAAATTGATGTTGTTGTTCGGTTTTAGGTGTACGCGCACAGAGAGACAGTGTGTGAAGGGGTTTAGTGAAGAAGGGGGGAGGCGGTTATTCATGACGGTGTGTAGTATTTTCCTATTTTTTGCTATCCTTTCTTTTTTTTTTTTCCTTTTTTTTTTCCTTTTTTTACTTTATGTTTATCTGTCTGTTAGTACTATGTCCAATTCATGGTGGAATACTAGAATCAGCGGCTGCGTGTCCAACGGCATATTAACAACCTACTGTGTGCATATGTTCTAAGTCCGCATAGGGTGAAGACTGAATATATGCAATATTAACATATGTACGCACGTATTGGGTTAGTATGACGTCATGGTAATATCAGCAGAAGTGGAATTATATATGAGCATAGCAATAATATCATGGCTGAAAATTTGGCAGAAGTCTTGGTGGAGTATGTAGAACAGAGACAAATAGGATCTGATAAGGGAGAAGGCCAAGGAAGGAAGAGTGAATTCAGTGTAAGTGATTATAAAGAGCTAATAGGATAATTCAGTGTATAGTGGTCATTGTATACAAACAGAAGTATAAAATGTATTTTGGGCGCACGATGAGTATTCATGCATTATAAAGTAATGTTGTTAATTCACCAGAGTGAACAATATATGTCAAGAGAATAGCATTGATTCTGTGTTAGGAACAGTCAGGAAAGGGAAAGGATGACAGAGCATATATTTGTGGACATGTGTTGTTATATTTACAGGATATGCTCTGGGACGACATAGAAAAACTATTCAAGGAGCTGACTGATAAATTTAAAGAGCAGAATACTATGGAGAGTGCGGTGTGCGAGGCACTCTATGGGAAAGCCCCGACGTTGGTACTACAGAGGCTGATATGCCGGCACATCGTGAAAATATTTGTATACATGGATGGCACGGCAAAAGTAGTCCAGGGTGTGACAGAACTAAATGCCGGGCAGACGCGTTGGAGGGACTATTTCAAATGTGTGGTAGGGAATGTGACATTAATAAAGTTATTTGAGCACAACTGTGCAGCAACGGACATTATAAATCAGGTGTCAAGGGAAATGAGTAAAATAAGTGTCCTGCTTGGGGGCAAGAGTAACAGCAAAGAATGTGAGGGCCTTGATTATGATAGCCTGACAATTGGCACGAAGTTTGTTGCTGGAACGATGGGTGAATGGATAAATAAGTGGAGAATAACATCCGTTGGAGGGTTAGGTGGGACACGAGCAAACAGATCATGTAGTAAACCAGGAAATATAACGACGGAGACAGGGAAAAAAGATAGTGAAGATGCGGATGTAGTTAAACTGTTGAAGGACAGCACTGCAAGAGATGTAGCGGGATTAATAGAGAAAGAGGCGAAAATAACGGAACACGAGAGGAAAAGAATAATGGAGGCAGCGCAGGATAAAGGAAGAGCGAAAAGTGTACTGGACGAAGTAATGCGTGAAATAGAACGCAAAGCGAACGGCCACGGAGGGGACATTCAGGTGCAAGGTAAGGACGGGGGAAGAAGCATAGAGCAGTGAAAGGGGAAAGGATAAAGTAGGAAGGGATGAAAAAACAAGAAGAGGAGAACGCAACAACATACCACAAGACCTTCCTGGATTCTAGGTCCCTAAGGACAAGATAACATAGGCATTCCCTACAACTTTTTGCCATTGTTTACAGATCCTAGAGCCCCCAAACCCGCCACCGGCACAACACCACAGGAACCGTCAGGTAAGACCGATGGGAGAAAGTTCTAATACACTGCGCACGGCCCCCATGTAGACCGTACGACTGCGCATATGGATGCCACCACAACAACACGCACACGTTGCGGAACAGCACAAGGCTGCGTTGAGCCGAGGTGTGCGGCGACGACGGATGGAGCCACGGATGGAACGGTGACGACGCAGCGGGACGAGATGACGGCGGCAACAAATAAAAGTTGTACTGCTACCATACCATGTCACCGTACGCTTGCTGCCGCTACTTGACCCCACCGTCCGCCCCTTCTTTCTACCACGTGTGTCCTTGTTGTATCATTTTGTCGTTTTTCTTCCTTGCTTCATTTGCAGCGAAGGAGAAGGAGAAGAAGAAAGAGGAAGGACCACCAGCTAAGGTACCAGAAGTGCCGAAGACGGTTTCCCCGGACAAGAACACACCACAGGCAGGCAGCGGACCAGATAGCAAGGGTAGGAATGATGAGGGGTTACCGGACGCCTTACCACAACCCCCATCGGCCGCAGGGGCAGGTGGGCAACAACCAGGTCAGGGACCAGGACCTGGACAACAACCCCCACCACCTCCACCTGCACCGGCAGGAGAAAACGGGAAGAAGGGAACAGAGGCCCAAACGCCAAAGGAGCCTGTTACCCATGACCAGACGGACAAAACTACAGGTAAGGAAACTACTTGTACCAAGGTTACGACTGTGTCCAGTGCTGGAGAATCATCCCCTGGAAAGAATGCTGATCGTATTCAGGAGAACCTAGGTGGCACAGGGCATTCTACAATATCTATCTCTGTTCCAATTACCACGCCCGAATGTTCCGACAAAGGTAACAGTGTTTCACATGAACATACTTCTGGCATTGCACACTGTGTGGCAATACGCCTGCTGGAATATTAAAGGGAGAAAAAAAGAAAAGAAACAACTTTTCCGGCGAGAGGGACAGACACCACGGAGAGAGAGAAACCAAACGTCGAATGAGAATGAGCGGGGCGTCAGAGCGACAGCGATGGGTCGGCCGCAGGATGTAGACGTCGACAGACACACACACTGTCTGTGTGTTGTGTTGTGTGTTGTTTGTGTTGTGGGAGACCGAGAGAGTGTCTTTTCCCGGAGTGGCACCATACCACCCACCGTTCCCCTACGGCCGATTCTCCAACGCCCGTGAACCGTGAAACGACGGACCGTGTGGCCAACCACCGCACACAACTTTAGTTTCATCATATCCTTCTTCCCCTTTGTTCGAATGCTCAGGTCAAGCCGATGCAAGTGCACCGAAGACTTCGGTTCAACAAGAGCATGCAAAGTCACCACAGTCGGCCCCACCACCACCAGCCGAACCAGATCCGGAACACGGTAAAGGCGAAGTAACAGCGTCCACAACACCATCATCAGGAACAGCACACCCGGCGACAACAACAACAGGACATATGGAGGAAAAACCCGTTGGCAACACAGAACATGCTACACCTACAGTTCAGTCATCCGGTGAAAAGGCTGAACCTGCAGCTCCAGGGGAAAACACTGACAGGGCTGATAACAGTCAACCCGCCAGTGCAGGACCCGTCGCACCGAATGCGGTAGTGAAGGGGGGGCCTATTCAACAGGAGGAAGACCCCCCTCCTCTCAATCCACCCAAACCAAAACCGAACCCGAACCCAAATCAATCGGGTACAACCCGTACCGGCCCCGGCGGCATGGGCGGAGAACCGCCCTCAGCAGGTGGTGGTGGAGGAGGTAGTAGTGGTAGTGGTGGAGGAGGAGGTGCTGGAGTTGGTGGAGGTGGTGGAGCAGGTGGTAGCGGCACTGAACTTGTCACCCCTTCCCTGTTCCCCGACTTAAAATGGGAAGCTGTCAAGTGGTACACCCCCGCGATCATCCCCGCGGTTGTTGGTATTGGGGTCATTGCGTTCTTCCTATGGAAGGTAAGTACAGCCACAACGAACATACTACAAGGGATACCGAGTGGAAAATGGAAGCACAACCGTTGCCATGCGCCATCCACTGTTCCGTCCCATGCTCCCAAAAGGAACGCGCACCAACTTTACACTATTTGGACTACTCGACAAAGAAAACAGAAAAAAACAGAAAAAAAGAAGCTTACTAGAGATGTGCGTCCCGAAATTCGAGCACGCGTATAGTTGCGGAAAAAAAGGATGGGATGGTGCGACACTATATTAGATACTTGGGTACACAGAGGGTAAAGTGCACATAAATGTCATGGTATACAGTATTGGATTCGTATGTATATACACATGTAATTAAACACATTTGTTAAATTTCAAAACAAAAAAAGAAAAAAAAATAAGCCCTAAAAACTTAAGCCCCCCAAAAACTTCTTAACCTGCGAACCTTACCCCCACAAAATCTTATATCCGCAACCGGGAATACTGAATACGCATTCCTGAACCTTACAATCCTTAAACAGTAAGCCTTAAACCGCGAATCTTAAATTCGTATTCAGCAACCTCGCAAATCATGGAACCTTACAATTCTCAGAGCTTACAATCCCGAAACGTCACAATCCTGAAACCTTGCAATACGGAAACCATACAATCCAGCAAACCTTGCAATCCACAAAACCTTACAATCCAGGAAACCTTACAATCCTGAAACTTTGCAATCCTGAAACTTCAAAATCATGAACTCCGCAATAATAAAATCTTATGCCCTAAATCCTAAATTCTGAGCCCTAAACCTTATAATACAATTTCACCATACTTATCCTTTATTTATATATGCTCCTTACACTCTTAATTAAATCCATTCACACTTTTTCAAAAAGGAGATCGAGATGCGGGTATACACGCACAAGAACGTGGTGAAACTCCTTTTATGCATTTATTATTTATCACTACGCGTAATAAATCTCAGAACGATATAAATGACGACCCCTATAAATAATAAACGGCCACGACACATGTATACTTATGCCAATAGGCCATAGTAAGAATCCCTCTAAACACTGATACAATGTAACTTTCAGCCCGCAGCTCTACACCGCAAAAAATGTTTTGTCGCCGTTCTTATATGTAAAAGGGGTATACTTTATTCTGTTGTTACTAACTTCCTCACCCATATATCTAACTTAAAAATAGTAAAGTGTTATTCCACTTGCGGAATTCCATAATCCGGTGTATACAATTTGCTCCCATTACACAGTTAAAACGGCGACATGATTGATGAGCCCGTGCTGAAATTGTGAAAAATATTTGACCACTTTAAGTAATATGCATCATATAATATGTACCAAAAATGGGTTCTTCCGTTTTTTTCCGTACTTTCTTCTTCCTTTATATTAGAGTGCACGTGAACTATTTATTCAAATCATATTTATATATTTAGGTAAGAATAGTGTATGATGTACAAAATTGATTTTATCAATGTTCACCTTTAGCCAATGAAGAAAAGTATTACACGCATAATTTATACACCTAGATGTGGAAAAACCGAAAATAATAGTTGTATAAGTCATACATATAAACACGCAACATATCGCCACTTCAAGCATTTTCTACACGGAAGGAAAAAAGAGGAACACAATGATGTTGCTTGTGAAACTATCTATATTTATTTTCGTCCTGTTCTTTGGGCAAATTGCTGATTGTGTATGATAAGAACAACTGCATCCTGCGTGTTTTCACGTTTATTATGATAAGCTCGTATCTTTTTCATAATTGCGATAAACCTTCCGCCTATTTATGGTCACGTTGTATATCATTCTATATACACCACAACACTCGCACATATTCCCCCTTTTTTTTGTACATGTTAGGCAAGTACACTAGGTACATCATCGGGTAATGTCACAAGCACATATGGCACTACGGATGCAATTACAACCGTATCGTTTAGCGATGGAACTACAGTTGGAACGACCACCGTATCGTTGAGCGATGGAACGGATGTAGGCAAACGGGGTCAACGTAAATTTTACGACGATACGTCTACCGATAATTCCGTGAACAACACGATGTTTGATAACATGAGCAGCAAATTAAAACCCAAGGTCCAAGTAAAGGAGCCACGACATGTAAAGACAAAGCCACAGGGGGGAACTGCGAAGGACAAGCTGAAGGAATATTGTCAGAAATTGAAACGTTGTAAAATGGGGAGGAAAGGATGGTTGGGTCTTATATTAGTAGTCTCAGTTATTTATACATTTATTCAGGCCTGCTCATACCCGATCGTTTATCTCCTGCTTAATGTTGTCGCCGATGTTTGGAACAGACCCGACTGGCCCCTTTTTGCATTTCCCGCACTTATAGCGCTCATTTATTTCTGCGCGTTATTGTGGTTCTGCTATTCAAAGAAAGGAAGAAATATATTAAAGAAAATTTGGAACGGTATAACTTCCTCAGAAACAGACAAAAACCTGGAGGTACTCGAGAAAACTGAGGTACCTAAAGAACTGGAAGTAACAGAGAAGCAGAAGGCACCGGAGAAACCAAAAGTACCAGGCAAACTAAAATTACCTTGGAAACTTAAATTATCGGGGAAACCATGAGTAACTTCCTGTATTCTACTTCTGGTAGACTATGTGGATGTTATAATATGTTATTCGTCTATTTACAGGATCAACCTGTTTGTGATGTCGTATACTGCTTGTATGATATGGCTCATTTTTCCTTATAGAATTTACCCTATAGTTCAATTCTACATTGTCATATTGTTTGTACTTTGTCAGAATATACATAGTTGTTCGTATATATATATGTTGTACAGTTAGTTTATAAAATAAGTTTTTGATGAATATTATTATTGGGAAACCCATAGTAGGAAAAAAAAAAGGAAAGTTCTTCCACATTCCGTATATATAATGCAAGACTACTTTATATCCTACATGTAACAAACACTACATTATGCTTCCCATGCATACAACATGTAGCAAGTATTTTTATAAAATGTAACATTCTTCTTTTTTTTTTTTTCCTAACACTTCCAAAATTTCTGGCGCTGCATTAATATCCCCCTTTTTTGGCACTATAATATTGTACACGATAATAACAACACACGCTATGTAGAACATAGTTCAAAGGCCCATAGTGATGCATGACCCGTTACAACACCATCTATAGTGACAGCGTTTGTCACGGGAACGACATACACACCACCTGTTCCTTTTTCCTGGCTTCTATAAAGCTTCTGTAATAAACTATCCACATATAATCCCCTTATATCCATAAATTGCGTACACTCCACACGAGTCTACACTAGCCGCCGCCATCGTCACCGCGGCTACCGCTGAACGGTACGCTCGCCGCTCGGCAATTCTACGGTAGCCGCTTATCGCTCAACCGAACTGGGGCATCGAAGTACACCGCTTTTGTGCCGTGCGTTGTTTCGCGGTCGCGGTTCTTCCCGCGTGTGCGTGTTGTTGTGGCCGTGCATCCATATGCGTATCGGTACGTAGCAGGCGTTCCATCCGTATTTGGCCGTATCGGGTCGCGCATTCGTGCTTTCTCCCATCGGTCCTTACCTGACGTGTCCTTTGATGGTGTCCTTTCCGTCATGTCCTCTTGCGCGTTCTGGTGCTCGTCGTCGTCCTCGTGCTCAGAGTCAACATCACTATCCCCGACGGCTCCGGAGCTGCCTGTTTTACTTCGTGCCGGGTCCACCGTTTTTCTTACTGTGTTCCTAATTTTCGTAAACATTTCTTGTACCTGCTCTTTCACTAAGGTGTTCATCTCGTCCTGCTGAAATATACTGGAAAGATCTGCACCTTCTCCGCTGTTTGCCAAACTTTTCTTGTACATTTCCCATTTTATTTCGCATTTCGGGTTCTCCTCTATTGCCTGCATACGATTACGTAGCGTTTTACTTTTTTTTAACCATTTTTGTATGGCGCTCTGCAAATCCCGTGTTCCCACCTTTGTATCAGTGTACTCATCCAGTCTACATTTTCCATCTGAAATTGAAGTGTCCACCCCACCTGGTTTTCCCATGCCTCTCATGATTTCCCATGCCCAATCTGGCCCTAGCCACTCGTGGCCACACGGTATTGCAGCCAATATATACGCAAAAACAGTTGCTACCATGCACCTCATAATAGCCTTCATGTCCGTATCGTTCTTCGATTCGTGCGTATCCGGCTGCTTATTAGATTTCCACCCAGCTATGAAAAATAATGCTCCAAGCATCAGTCTGCATTTCATGACGTCCGCAACTGTGTGCCCGCGATATGTTTTGCCCTTATGCGTGTCTCCTCTACGCGTCCAACCTTCATCCCCACAGCTTGTGGCATACGCATCAATATTCTCTTCTATCTTTTCCATATTATCCACAAAATCCTTTAATACATTTTCCATATCTGCCCATAGTGCACGCTACGAAATACATACATAGAGAAAATGATTAATATATAACAATATGTAAACTCTATAGGACTCTACCTGCCGTTCCGTATGTGTTAGCGCATATATATGTACCAACACTAGTTGCCGCCGCCCGTCTTCTTTGTGTCGTTCAATCCCTTGTTTTAAGTTAATACTTACATTAAATGAATCCTGTTGCCATATTCCCCGTGCCCGTGCCCAGGGGACCATTACATTTACTAAGTGCTCTGCCATGGTGCCCTACGTCGCATAATACAGGATACTAGTGCTCTCTGAGAATATTGTGCACATTATACATATTCCGCCCTGATGCTATACACACTGCGGCCTCATCAATATGCTTATTACTCTATAAATGGGGGGAAGCCGTGCACACATATAATTTATATAAGGAAAATGCACAATACAGAAGTGCACAGTACACAAACTGTGTGCACTATTCGGATATTGTTTAGGAGAGAATAATATGCACAGAATAAAAAAGGAGTACAAAAATGAAGAGAAAAATGAAACAAAAAAACTACTACTACACTACCCTACACACGCAACGCGCGTCATGAATACCCCCGCCCCCCTTTCTACACCGGTCTGCACTAAACGCCTGTCACACACACTGTCTCTCTGTGTGCGTACACTAAACCCCGTACACCGCAAAACCGCAGTATAACAACAACATCAATGCGTCCTTCTTCGTGCTACCGTCGTTGTCGCCGTCGTGGCTGCCGTGTGCGTGTTGTTGTTGTTGGCGGAGACGTCCATGTTCGGCAGTATGCGGCCGCGTGTTCGTGTGCGGCCGCCTATTCGTGCTTTCTCTCATCGGTCCTTACCCGTCGGTGCCGCTGGCGGTGTTGCCGCGGCTCCCGGTGCTACCGGTGTGTCTCGCGCTGGTTTGACAGATGTTTTGACGTGCTCTAATGCGCTTTGTACGCATTCGTCACCCTGAGCACTACAGTTTTGCACTCTCTCTAATATTTCCTCCATCATTTTCTCCGGATTGGTGCTATCTCTCACTGTTTCAATTATTTTTTTCTTCACTTCATCCGTCATATCCTTTCCTTTCATAATTAATTGCTTCACTTCGTCCACACTCTTATCCTTGGACATTGTCACAATTGGTATGTTGTCCCTTTTTCTAACTCCTTCTTCATTAGCGTCTATTCTTTCTGTTCTTTCCTTCTTCTTACATATTTGTACTCGTTTGTCACTTTTTATACTTCCTACATTCCCCGTTCCCTTGAGTTGTTCCATCCATCCTCCCATGGTTAATCCTACAAATTTTGTTCCGATTTTCATGCTATCATAATTCAGACCTGCGCATTTTTTACTAATATCCACATGGCTAAACGCTCGCCTTAACGTATCCATACTGTTGGATACTTTTTCTACAACTGCCATGTGTTCACAGTTCTCCCCGTACAGCTGTAATAGAGCAACATTCCCTAGCATACATCTAAGATATTCTTCTAGCCTCTCCTCATTCTTAAATATATGTGTCTTTTCCCACTTTCCCTGACTTATATAATCTATTCCATCCATAAATAGAAAAATGTGCATAACGCGTTGGCACAGTAACCTGTGGACGTGTGCGTGTGGCACTGTAGACGGGTATGCCATGCGACACATCGCTTTAGTACTTTGATCCCTGGTATGATAATTATTCTTTAGAGCTCCGAACAATACCCTTATGTCTGCCCAAATTTTATCCTGCAGTAATAGAAATTCACATATATGGACCCATGTGTATACTGAAATGTCCTTCATCCCACTTACGTTGTCCCCTGTCCTCTGAATGATACTACGTCGTATATTCATGCTTCCTGGCCAATTAAACATTAATAATACTAATAATCAGCGACAGTCATATATATACATCTCACGTAACGTAACATTGTCAACAAGCTCACATATCTATTTATGTATGCCGAATGTGCCTATTCTTCACTCATAAAAACTTACGCTGAAATCACTTTTACCAGCTGCCTCATCGGCCCCAATTCGCCGCCTCTTAGTGTACTCCGCCAGTAAAGCCGTGAACTCCTTAGCCCCCATGTTGTGTGTGCTCCCAGGTAAGTTACAATGTTACATTCTAAACTGTTGCCTTAATCTTCCATGTGAACGACATGAACCATCTACTCCTGATTCCTATATTCTTCCTATACTACTTATTCGTAATGCCTCCGTTAGCACTCAACCTTAGAAATGTATACAGAACAAAAACTGCAATTTCTATGCCTCCCAGTTCAATCCCAATCATCCAGTAATATTAAATCATGTAGAACTTATATATGCGTAATAATGGAAAAATGAATATAGGAAAAGGAAAAGAAAGAAAGGAAAAAAAATATAAAAAACACTACACAACGCGTCATGAATACACCCCCTCTCCCCCTTTCTACACCGGTCTCCACTAAACGCGTTCACACACTGTCTCTGTGTGCGTACACAACCAAACCGCAGTAGCGACAACAACATCAATTCTTCTGCCGTCGTTGCTGCCTTCCTTCTCTCGTTCGCCCTCCCACACATAATATGTGTTCCGTGCTCGAACCCCTCACACGGAACCACTTTACTCGGAGATAATCCTCCTCCTTCTTACACTCGGAGACAATCCTTCGTCGAATGTGTCTTACACTCGGACAATCGTGTTTACCCGGCCGCGTTTGCTCGGAGAGACAATCCTCCTCCTTCTTACACTCGGACAATCCTTCGTCGAATCCGTCTTACACTCGGCGACAATGTGCTTTACCCGGCCTCGTTTGCTCCGAGAGACAATCCTCCTCCGTCTTACACTCGGCTACGTCGTCGAATCCTTCTTACACTCGAGACAATTCTTACGAGGACGGCGGAATGCGGAAGAAAAGAAGTAGTTGTTGTGTATTTATATCACGACTTCCAGAAACGTGACGAACAAGCGTTGACGGAGATGGGGTGTGTATATATTTTTTTTTTTGTTGTTGTTCATCAGCGGAAGTAGTAGTAGTAGTAGAAGTAGTCGTACTTTTTTTTTAAGAAGGGGAATAAAATGTGTTCAATATGACTACGCCTTATGACACGGAAATAGCAAATTTTGTAACAGCATGGGAGAGTTTTCTATGGAAGCGAAACAGAACGAACGCAGACGAATATTTGGTAAGAGCAATAGTGCTGGAAGTCGCAGGAAGGAGGGAATATTGCTCTTTGCGTGAAATGTATGTACGTGTACAATGGAAACTTATGTGTGTGCATAAATTGTTCAGGTGGGCGTATTGTGGGAAATGAGTGATGTATTTAGGTACAATGGTAGAATGCGCACGGAGTACAGGTAATCATGTAGATATATACGTAGGTGTAATAGAATTCAGAAGGAGCGAGAAGTAGGAAGTATACATGTATGTATTAATTGTTTCCCCTGTAGAAAGTACTATTCCAGCAGGTTGATAAAATCCTCAGCGACTTAATCAAGAAAATTGGCCATCCCAGTGGTCTGATCACTGGCTTCTGTGGAAGTATATATCACAGAGAAGGGGAAGGCGCATGCATAAGCAGGTGTCGAGAAATTGCGAATATTGTGCTATACATGAGAGGGTATGAGTACAAGAAGGGACAGAATCAGTGGCAGAGACGGAGCATACAGAAAAACAGGGAGGCCACATTTAAGGAATATTTAAAATGCACAGTAGCGACTGAGGTTCTTTTGAGACTGTATGGAAGGAATACAGACCATAGGAATATTATAAAGGAAATTTCGGACACATTGGAAACGGGAGAAGAAACGTCAGGCCAGAAGTTTGAACGTGCAGCATGCGAGAACATCAATTTTGGGAAAGTAATATTCCAATCTGGGAGTACGGGAAAAGGCATACAGAGTCGATTGGAGGAATTGAGTAAACATTGGGCGCCACTAAATGTAGGGCGGCGGTATCGAGCGTCAGGAAAATGTGCATGGCAGGATACAGCGCTGGATGCTGAGAAAGAGGAACAGAGCACTACACGGGAATGTGGTACGAGGCAAGGGGGGGACGTGAACGAGGATGCGGAAACGAGGAACATAATGGAATGGATTAACGTTGATCCTACGGGGCGAGTGCGCACGCTGTTAGCGAATATCAAGAAAAGTAAGGGATCGGCGGGGATATGTGACATAGAGCAAAAGATTAAGGAGAAGGTAGAGGACACCGTGAAGCAAGTGACGACACAAGCGAAGGCGCGGGATGAAGCCGCTGACAGCGGCAAGGCACCACAAGGGAAGCCCCCCTCCGACGGACCCGGTGCAAAGGTTGCCAAGCCTGCACCAGCCAAACCAGCACCAGCCAAACCAGTAGCGGCGAAACCGGTGGCAACGAAGGAGACGACGTCATCGGGAACGACGTCAACGACGATGAGGGCGAAGACCGAACGGGAGGAGTGCCTGGGGAAGAAAATATCGGAGTGGAAGCCCAGGGCAATCTACGTGGGGCATCAGTATACTGTAAGTTAGCGTAAAGAGAGAAAGGAACAGGAATAAAGGGAAAGACATAGGAATAGAAGGCAACGATAATTTATTCATAAAGTTACATGCATATGTGCAGGTATCGACGCATCCGACGGGTAGCATGGAAGTGAAGTGTTTACACGCATATTTTTTTATTTGCATGTGCAACATTTAGGAAAAAGATTGGGAACCCGTGAAGAAGGTGTTGGAGGAGTTTATTGCACATTTGAGGGACAATACTGATAACTTTGACGCACTTGGTGCCAACTGTGACAATAAATCTTGGAATGATATGAACGACGTTACATACTATAAGGCACAGAGGGTGCCCGATATGATGCGGTGTAGAATCATGTCGGGAGCCTTGTGGTTTGCAAACCAGCCGGGACACAATGAGGACGTCAACAGGTTAAGATGTGAAGTGGCCCATGTTTTGGGGCACTTATTGAAAACCAAGTATTGTGAACGTAAGACTCCGTTTACAAGAGGTACAGAGTATGCTTGGCAAACATTCAAGAATATGCAAAGCCAAGGGCAAAGTGGACATGGAGCGCTGCAAGGCCCTGTAATGGACGGAACGTGCACAATGTGTGGATATGTAGGTCATACAAGGAACATAACAGCAATAAATTGGAAGATAGCAGAATGGTTATTGTATAATGCCGGAATAATGGAAGAAATACAAAAAATGGAGCGCGATTGGCCCTGTGAGCAGTATTGGGAAAAGTATATTCAGGAGAACGCAAAAGAAGGAGAGAGAGATATCAGTAAAATTTTGACACAACCTGGAATTCAGAACATGAAGCAAGCACAGAAGGAAATAAGAGAAGGAGCGAAGAAGGTGTTTGAAAAAGCAAAGGAAGAAGGACAAAGGGAAATTAACGAACGGACAGGTAAGAATATCAATAGTAAGTATACGACTACGCCCGAATACGAATATACGACCGAATACGCCTGGCCCATATAGGTTCGTACGGATGTCAATGAGCACGCGCGGGGAAACAGCACCCCCTCGTTGAGCCGAGCACAGCGCTTCCTCTTCGCTGCCCCACTTCGGTTGAGCGCTGAGCGACGACGAGTATGCAGTGTCCATGAATTGTAGATTTTATGGATATAAGGAATTATATGTGGATAATTTGCTGCCAAAAAAGTGAAAAACCAGGAAAAAGGATGCCGTGTATATGTTGTTGTCGTGAGAAGTGTTGTCCCTGTAAATTATGTTGTAGGGGGCCCTGCATCCCTATATCCGTTTATGCTATATTCTACATAACGTGTGTTGTTATTATCGTGCACATAACTATAGTGCGAAAACGGGGGGATATTCATGCAGAGCCAGAATTGTTGAATAGTGCGAAAAAAGAAAAAACAAAGAACACGGAGATACACGGAAGGAACTTTCCACATAATATAAAAGCACCCGCTATATAATGTATGCTGGGTAATCATAATGTGATATTTGTTACATGTAACATATGATATAAATGTTCCTTATATGTGTGCAATGTGGGGAGACTTTTCCCCTTTTTTCTTCTTAAAATGGGTTTCTCGCCCACAATATCAATAAATACTTGATCATATGAACAAATAATAAAACATAAACACAAACGATGTATATTGGTAAGAGCACAAACAAAAATTATAATGTAGAACACGGAACTATAAAATAAATACTATAAAGGAAAAATAGACCACATCATAGGGGCGAACATACAACATCATAAAAAGGTCGATCCATTACATAGACGAATAACAAATTATGACGTCGAAATAGTCTACAAGAAGTAGAACACGACAGTTACTTATGCTTTCCTCGGTAATTTAAGTTTCCATGGTAGTTTTAGTTTCCCAGGTGCTTTCGGTTTCGTAAGTACGTCTGCTTTCTTAGGTACTTCTGATTTTGCAGATGATTCCGGTTTCACGAGTACTTCCGGTTTCTTAGGTATTTCTGTTTTTCCAGGTACCTCCGTTTTTTTAGGTATTTCTGGTTTCTTTGGTGCATCTGATTTGCCAGAGGCTTCCTGCTTCTCAGGTGTTTTCGGCTTTTGAGGTATTTCTGATTTATTTGGTACTTCCGGTTTCGTTGGTGCTTCCGATTTCTTTGGCACTTCTGGTTTCCCCGGTGCTTCCTGCTTCTTAGTTCCTTCCTGTGTCTTAGATACTTCCGGATTCTTAGGTGCTTCCGGTTTCTTAGGCGCTTCCTGTTTCTTAGGTACTTCCTGCTTCTCCGATTCTTCTGCCTGTTTCGGTGTCCTGCTTCTCGGGTGCTTCCGGTTTCATATTTACTTCTCGTTCGTTTTTTTCTGTTTCTGTGGGAGCTTCCTCCTTCTTCCAAAATTTATCAAATAAACATTTCCCTGTTTTGGAGCGGCAGAAACATACTAGCAAGCAGGAATACATGACTGAAATCAGTAGGAGAAATGCGACTATGTAAAAAGTAACCACAACCATCAATGAAGGACTAATAGCCGAAACCACCGCGCCTACTATTGCGCACAAAACAAGTACTGGATACAACACTGAGAGTACTAATATAAGCTTAAACCATGCTCTTCTTCCCATTTTACAACGTGTCCATTTCTGACAACATTCCTTCAGCTTGTTCTTCGCAGTTCCACCCTGCGGCTTATTCTTCGTCTGCCTTGATCGATTCGCCTGCATCTTGGACTTCAGTCCCTTGCACACGTTACCAAACACCGTGTTCTGCACGGGACTACTCGTAGACTGAACATCGTAAAAATTACGTTTGCCCCGTGTTCCTACATCCGTTCCATCACTCAATGACACGGTTGTACTGGCATCCGTAGTGTTATATTGGCTTGTTCCATTGGCCAAGGATGTGCCTAGTGTATTTGCCTAACATAAATGAAAGAAAAGGGGGAATATGTGCGAGTGTTGTGGTGTATATAGAATGATATACAACGTGACCATAAATAGGCGGAAGGTTTATCGCAATTATGAAAAAGATACGAGCTTATCATAATAAACGTGAAAACACGCAGGATGCAGTTGTTCTTATCATACAGCGTCAGCAATTTGCCCAAAACACAGGGCACAAATAAATATAGAAAATTTCACAAGCAACATCATTGTGTTCCTCTTTTTTCCTTCCGTGTAGAAAATGCTTGAAGTGGCGATATGTTGCGTGTTTATATGTATGAATTATGGAACTATTTTTTTCTCTTCTTCCACATCTATGTGTATAGATTCTGCGAGTAACACTTCTTTTCATTGGCGAATGGTCAACATTGATAAAATCAATTTTGTACGAGGTTTACTATTCTTACCTAAATATATAAATATGATTTGCATAAATGATTCACCTGCACCCTAATATAAGGGATGAAGGAACTACGGAAGAACACAGTGAAGAACCCATTTTTGGTACATATTATATGATGCAATATTACTCAAAGGGGTCAACATTTTTCACAAATTCAATACGGGCTCATCACTCATGTCGCCGTGTTAACGGCGTAATGGGAGCAAAGAGCATATGCACGAGAGCAAAATTCCATATCTGGAATAACACTTTACTATTTTAAATTAGGTATAAGGGTGAGGAAGTTAGTAACAACAGAATAAAGTATACCCCTTTTACATATAAGAACGGCGACAAAACATTTTTTGCGGTGTAGAGCTGCGGGCTGAAAGTTACATTGTATCAGTGTTTAGAGGGATTCTTACTATGGCCTATTGGCATAAGTATACATGTGTCGTGGCCGTTTATTATTTATAGGGGTCGTCATTTATATCGTTCTGAGATTTATTACGCGTAGTGATAAATAATAAATGCATAAAAGGAGTTTCACCACGTTCTTGTGCGTGTATACCCGCATCTCGATCTCCTTTTTGAAAAAGTGTGAATGGATTTAATTAAGAGTGTAAGGAGCATATATAAATAAAGGATAAGTATGGTGAAATTGTATTATAAGGTTTAGGGCTCAGAATTTAGGATTTAGGGCATAAGATTTTATTATTGCGGAGTTCATGATTTTGAAGTTTCAGGATTGCAAAGTTTCAGGATTGTAAGGTTTCCTGGATTGTAAGGTTTTGTGGATTGCAAGGTTTGCTGGATTGTATGGTTTCCGTATTGCAAGGTTTCAGGATTGTGACGTTTCGGGATTGTAAGCTCTGAGAATTGTAAGGTTCCATGATTTGCGAGGTTGCTGAATACGAATTTAAGATTCGCGGTTTAAGGCTTACTGTTTAAGGATTGTAAGGTTCAGGAATGCGTATTCAGTATTCCCGGTTGCGGATATAAGATTTTGTGGGGGTAAGGTTCGCAGGTTAAGAAGTTTTTGGGGGGCTTAAGTTTTTAGGGCTTATTTTTTTTTCTTTTTTTGTTTTGAAATTTAACAAATGTGTTTAATTACATGTGTATATACATACGAATCCAATACTGTATACCATGACATTTATGTGCACTTTACCCTCTGTGTACCCAAGTATCTAATATAGTGTCGCACCATCCCATCCTTTTTTTCCGCAACTATACGCGTGCTCGAATTTCGGGACGCACATCTCTAGTAAGCTTCTTTTTTTCTGTTTTTTTCTGTTTTCTTTGTCGAGTAGTCCAAATAGTGTAAAGTTGGTGCGCGTTCCTTTTGGGAGCATGGGACGGAACAGTGGATGGCGCATGGCAACGGTTGTGCTTCCATTTTCCACTCGGTATCCCTTGTAGTATGTTCGTTGTGGCTGTACTTACCTTCCATAGGAAGAACGCAATGACCCCAATACCAACAACCGCGGGGATGATCGCGGGGGTGTAGGGGATGAGATCCTTGGGGTCGAAGGGTTTCGAGGGAAGAATCCAACGCGGGAGCAGAGAGCCGGCGGGAGACGGAGAAGGAACACACATATTATGTGTGGGAGGCAGAGCGAGCGCAGGAAGGCGGCAACGACGGCCGCAACGACGGAAGAAGCATTGATGTTGTTGTTATACTGCGGTTTTGAGGTGTACGCACACAGAGACAGTGTGTGAAGGCGTTCAGTGGAGACCGGTATAGAAAGGGGGGAGGGGGTGTATATTCATGACGCGTTGTGTGTGCACGGTAGTGTAGTGTACTACTTTTGTTTTTCCTTTCCTTCTTCTACAGAGGCAACGAGGACGGCAGGACGGCGCAAGAAAATAAGTAGTTGTTGTGCATTTATCACGACTTCCAGAATCGTTGACGGAGAAGCGTTGACAGAGCATGCGTTGACGGAAGAGGCGTTGACGGAGAGGCGTTGACGGAGACACCTTGACGGAAGACGCGTTGACGCAGCGGCGTGGACGGAGACGGCGTTTGACGGAGAACGGGGTGACGAAGACGGGGTGACGCAGACGGGGTGACGAAGACGGGGTGACGAAGACGGGGTGATGAAGACGGGGTGTATGTGTATATTTTTTTTTTTTGTTGTTGTGATTAATGAGCGGTGTGTAGTAGTAGTTGTTGTTGTTGTTGTACTTTTTTTTTTAAAAAGGGGAATAATAACGTGTTCAATATGGCTGTGGATTGGAGGAAAGCACAGAGAGATTTTATAGATGCATGGACGTATTTTGTATTGTACAGAGGGAGAAAGAAGACTCCGCAGGATTATTTGGTAAGTTCAGTCAACCATAGACTTAGAGAGAGACATGTGGCACTTGAGGACACTATATATATACATAGGCGTAGTAATTTATAAGAAGGTGAAACGTCCCTATAGGTATCATAAATTAGAGCTAATGATATGAACATAGGTTGGGTACACGGAGAGTATCAGCATTAGATGGGAAATATGCATCAGTATAATACACTGACAGCACCAAAGGAAAAAAACATGTGTAAATTATTCCACCTGCAGGATAGATTATCCAAGCAGGTTGATAACATCTTCGGTGAGTTAACGAAGATAATTGGCCAAAATGGAATTTGGAATAGTACTATTTGTGGGTATATATATTACGGTTCGGACGATACTATATGCAGAAGTAGGTGTGGGGAAATTGTAAGCTTAATTTTATATATGAAAGGGTATAATATTAAGAACTTGACTTGGACAAAAAGACACATGAGGGGGGGAAGGGAGAAAGATTTTCGTGAGTATTTAAAGTGTATATTAGCGCGGGAAGCTCTGACCAAACTGTATGGAGGGAACAATGATCATGTAACAGTAATAAAGGACGTTTCCAATGAGTTGAACCGAGGTGCGGACGGAATATTAAAGAACGAAATTCAGGCTGGAGTATGCGAAGGGAGGAAATATGAAAGTTTAATATTCGGATCCGGGAATATCGGGGCAAACATAGAGAGTCGTTTAGCGAAATGGACCGAAGACTATGCGCAAAGAGGGAGAACGATTGCACGAGGCAGATCGGGAAAATGTGCGTGGGAGGTTAAGGAACATAAAGAAGAGGAAAAGCAACATAAGGGAAGCTGCGATAAAGGGAAAGGGAAGGATCAATATAAGGATGAAGACCAAGTGATGGATTTAATTGAGGTAGATTTACTTCACAGCACTCAACGTTTTTGGAACATAGTCCAGGAGAGTCGAGAATTAGACACAGCGTGTGAAATAGGGGATAAAATAAAAAAAGGGGTTGCAGACGTACGGAAGAAAGTAGATGCGAAGCCCGTACGTGAGCAACCCGCCCCGGCCAAACCAGCACCCGCCAAACCAGTAGCGGCGAACCCAAATGCGGCCAAGGGGAAAACACCGGTAAGAACGACACCGGAGAACACGAAGACGGCGGGATCAACGAACATTGTAGTAACGAGGACGACGCGGCGCATGCGCGCGTTGCGGATTCTACTGCTTGCTTCCGTAATCGAAGAATGCGCGGTCGACAGCAGTTTTCAGGAGAAGGGAATTATTTGCGTGGACAATCTGTTACGGCACATTTGAGAAGGCGGAAGAACAGGAAGAGTGTGCACATTGTCCTCGTTCCCAGGGGGAGGCTGTTATAGAACGATGCCGGTGTAATCCCCCAGCTATCGCTGTCGTTGTTTATGGTATATTCTACATAATGTATGTTGTTATTATCGTGTACATAATTATAGTGTAGGAAACGGGATATTAATTCAGCGCCATAAGGTTATGAAGTGTTAAAAGAAAAAAATAACGAGACACAGGGAAGGAACGCCCTACATAAGATAAAACCATCCGTCATATAATATATTCGTGTAAACATCATGTAATGCTTGTTACATGTAAGATATGAAATAATTGTTCCTTATATATGTGCAATATGGAGAGACTTTTCCCTTTTTTCTTCTAAAATTGGTTCCTCACCCATAATATAAATAAATACTTGATCATATGAACAAATAATAAAATATAAACACAAACCATGTATATTGGTAAGAGCGCAAGGAACATTATAATATAGAAAGCGGAACTATAGGATGCATGCTATAAAGGAAAAATAAGCCACATCATAGGGGCAAACATACAACATCATAAAAAGGTCGATGCTGTACATAGATGAATAAGATATCATAACGTCAACATCATCTACGAGAAATAGAATACGGCACATAGTTATGGTTTTTTGCGTAATTTCTGTGACCAAGGTAATTTCAGTTTCCCCGGTGCTTCCGGTTTCTTTGTTGCTTCCGGTTTGTTAGGTGCTTCCGGTTTCTTTGTTGCTTCCGGTTTGTTAGGTGCTTCCGGTTTGTTAGGTGCTTCCGGTTTCTTTGGTGCTTCCGTCTTCTCAGCTACTTCCGGTGTCTTAGGTGCTTCTACTTTCTTGGGTACTTCTGCATTCCCGGGTACTTCCAGCTTTTTCTGTTTTTCTGGGCTAGTATTGCCAATCAATTTTTTTGTCGACTTTCTGGACCTTTGTATTCCGTGAATACACAGGTATAACAGAATCAAGAGCACAACAATTATGCTTCCGCTATATGCAGAAATAAATATGGTAAGCAAAGATTTTTCAAGAGATGATACGAAGTACAAGCAACCCACTGCTGTATTAAAAGCAGAATTGGACACACCGAAGAATATCCACCTTTTATTCTTAACTACCGTACGTGCCGGTACACTCGGGAGTCCTGCGGACTTGTTCGTAGCTTTTTCGCCTTGTTCATTATTCTGTGAGGCAGCTAATGGTCCATCTGATCCAACCGTAGGATCTTGTTTTTTAAACAATTTTCCTAAAGCGGTGTTCTTAAGAAAACCTCCACTACGACTGACCGGAGATTGACTTTGTTCTGGTGTTTTCTTATCCGTTCCATTCTTCACTTCAGTTCCTTTTGGCTTGCTTTCTTTTTTTTCACTTGGTGCCTTATCTTGTGAGGACGGTGGCATCGGTTTTTCTGATGGAACCTTAGAACCTGGTTTACCAGGGTTGTTTCCTGGTGGCACGGTTTCCTTAGGTGCACCGTTACCAGGTTTAGCATGAACTTTAGTTGGCTTTGGTTTTTGCATATCCAATTTAGCCGTTAATAATCTACTAATCCTGTCCCTGGGGTTGCTACTTCCGCCAGTTGTATGGTTCCATGATGTGCCGCATTCATTTACCTAACATATAACAAAAAAAGCGGGAAAGATGTATTTGGGGGGTTATGCCATGCACATGTATGTAGATAAAATAAAGAAAGGAATAGAAATTTTTTATTTTTAACAACACAGAAAAAAGAGGCTAATCGGAATAAGCACAAGGTTTTTTTAGGGGATGCTGTAGGTATTATCTTACGTAGTAAGGATCTTGCGAGATGTACGCTACCAAGCTCAGTATTAAAAATTTCGGGAAAGGTATCATTTTTTTGCTTTTTTCTTTTTATTATTGCTTTTAGCGAAGAGAAAGATTAAGAATGACATTATATCTTTTTTTTTTTATATATATGTGTGCGAATTATACGGTTATTTTTTCCTTTTTTTTTTGTTGTTCACGGGAAATGCTACTTGAAACATTTGTATATGAGATTTAAGTTTTTCTAATCTAGGTGTTTATATTATATAAGTGAAGAATTTGTATGCACAAGAATATACAGTACGAAGATTGTGATAATCCAAAATAATGAACAAAAATGCATTTATTACATGTTATATGATTTAAAATTAATTAAAATGCTTGGTATGGTGTACACATATGGTACACTGTTTTTAATAATATTGCACTTTTGAGGGTCCGGTGAAATGGAAATTATGTACTTTTGACAAAAATCAAAACTTCTATATATGCACGATCATGTTGCTATTTTATTATGGATATAATGATAGGGTAATAATTTAAACAAGGAATTAGCGCATTTGTATAAAGTAGAACAACGGAAAATTTTCCCAAGTAGTTACGTTGTAGGTTCAGCATTTTTCATACAGTGCATCAGTGCTTAAGGGGTTATTATTTTAGTTTATATATGAGAAAGATTATATATGTATCATAGTCGACATTCATGGGTGTTTATGTATGTCGTGCGCAGATTTATCATGTAATGATAAATTATAAATATGAGAATATAGTTTAGAATTGTTTGTGTATGTATATCTTTATCTTTGTTGACGACATGTGAACGGATTCAATTAAGAGTGTAAGTAATATGCATACAAAATGAAAAATAAGCGTAGGATAATTGGATATTGTCGCGAACTTGACAGTTCAATATTTAGGATTTAGCGTGTAGATTTGAAGGGCCAATACTTAAGGGTTAGGGTTACGGGTTCTTCCTACAGAGTTGTTGAGGGCCCCGGGTTTAGGTTTCTAGGTTTTATTAGGGTTTTATGGTTCAGGATCGTAGGTTGCAGTATGGTTTTATGGTGCAAGATCCGCAGGTGGCAGTACGGTTGTATGTTGCAAGATCGTAGGTTGCAGTACGGTTTCATGGTTCAGTACCCTATTATACGTCGGTTTAAGCTTTAGCAATATAGGATACCGTGTGCTTTGAAGTTCAGATATGTAGTTTTTAGGATTGTCACGTTGCGGACTCCGGTTTTATGATTCAGGGGCTCAAGGATTCTCAGTCCGCCAGTTTAAGAGTTGCAACATTTAAAGGATTCTTTTTGTTTGTTCTTTTCTGCATGCGACATCGCACAAGAACACTGCTCCTGCCTACTGTTCGTGTACTGTTCGTTGCCTTTTGCTTTGTTTCATTCTACCCTCTCCTTGCATTGTTTTCTTTTTGTTCCTCTCCTCCGTGCGCTTTGTGCCCTCTCGCATCCCTGCTATTGTGCTGCTAGCCGTCACCACGTCCTCGTACACGGATTGTTCGATTAACGCGGCCAAGTGTAAGAACGAGGAGGATTGTCTCTCCGAGCACAACGCGTCGACCAACGCGCCCCAGGGTAACAACGATTCGACGACGTAGCCCAGTACAACGGTTCAATTACGGCGTTCGAGTAAACGATTCAACCAGGTAGCACCGGGACGGACGGCAGCCACGACGGCGGCAACGACGGCAGCAGAAATTGATGTTGTTGTTATTACTGCGGTTTAGTGTACACGGGGTTTAGTGTACGCACACAGAGACAACGTGTGTGTGAAGGCATTTAGTGGAGACCGGTGTAGAAAAGGGGGGAGGGGGTATATTCATGACAGTGAGTAGTGTTTTTTATATTTTTTTTCCTTTTTTTTTTTTTTTTTTTTTTTTTTCCTTTTTTTTTTTTTTTTTTTCTTTTTTCCCTTGTTTGATTTCTTTTTTTCCTACTTCCAAATCCCACGCTTTATAGGGTGTGTGATTACATTCAGATAGGGCTTAGTTTGTTCATGGGACATGTTTCCGCAGGCACCCTATACTGGAACACATGTTCCATTCCCTATGAATCTGAATAATAAGTAATAGAATATTGTGCCGATATTATATTCAAGCCGTTATCTGAGAGATAATTGTTTCATTCCTTTGCAATCTATTGCTTCATCCTAATGACAATATGACGTATGCGACGTTAGGGGCTTTATTAGCAGACTACGTTATAAAAAGAGGTCTAGTGGGGGATCCACAAGGATATATGGTAATTTATTGTGAGGGAAAAATGGAGAGAGCAGGCGCCTACACATATACATGTGTATACGTGCACGACAGGCAGGGTACTCAGTTTGCATCATACATATGTTCACGTTACTTGAACGGGAAAGCATATGCCCGATGTGAGGATAACATACGAGGTACAGCATGTAGCATACGGGCGAGTCCAGTGAGTATCTTCCGTGAACACAAGAAAATGACATATATGTACTTGCCCCCGCATTACTCCAATTGCAGAAAAGTTTATGGAAGGATATAGAGGCACAACTGGACAAGTTTATACAACATTTGAAAGACCAAGAACTGGACGAGGCATATTCTGTGAATTGCAAGAACACTGCATGGCAGCGCCCGGGCCAACCGACTAACATAACCTACGTAGTTACAAACATGGGTGACAGAATTATATGCAGACTTATGACTAAAGCGTTGTATTTCCTGAATGGCTGGAGTATAGGATCAGGCACGGATATGGAAGATGCTACTGGCGGAAACAGGCAATTGAGGAATTTTATTAGGTGTACAATCGTGCACATGTTCATGCACTTGTTGAACGAGTCCGCATGTGCGAGTACATGGGGCACATTCTACGCATGGTATTCAATGCGACAAATGGGGGACGTATCCTCATCGAGTACGAATTTAGTATATTCCGGCGACTGTGTGCAAAATTCCGCAGTGCACCTACAAGTGGGTGAGTGGAGCATGCAACATGCAGTGAAGGAGTGGTTGAACAGAAATGTAGACATAAAACTAAAATTAAACAGAGGTAGCTTCGGCAAGAATTGTCGTCTTGCAGTGCCAAAAACTACAGGAAGCAAGCATGCTGCAACAGATCAAGTAGATGAGGACACTTTGCAGAAAATAAAGGACATTGAGGGGAATTTACAGACAGCAATGAGGAAGGTATTGAGGAAAATTAAAAAGGAAGTGAAGGAAGAAGCGATAGCAGCAGGAGACATAAGTGCAGAGAGCTCCGCTGCGCCAGAGTCGGACGATGATGACGATGAGCAGCAGGAAGCGAATGGTAAGAACAGTACAGGAGCAGCGTTCTACTCATACGGGCAATACCACTACGCATAGTGTACACACGGTCGCTACCCATATACGGCCGAATACGGCCCATACGACTGCGCATACGGATGCCGCCAACAACAACACACACGCACGCGGGCAGCAACAACGCACACGCGGCGACAACAGCACAACAGCACAGCGCGGCACATCTTCGCTGCCTCACGTAGTGTGAGCCGCGACCACAGCGGCGGCCACGACGGCGATAGCGGTAGCGTAACGTGGATTAGCGGCGAGCACACCAAACGACTTCGCTGACGTTGAGCGGTGCCGCAGCGAACGCATATGCGTAGCGACGAGGCTCGTACACGCGTGTAGATGAGCGTACCGTTCGCTTGAGCCGAGGTGTGTGTGCGGCGGCGGCGAGTGTAGAGCGGGCATGCATGTAGAGTGTACGGAATTTATGGATATACAGAAAGGGGATTTTATGTGGATGCTTTATTACAGAACAATTGAGAAGCTTTACGGGATGCCAGGAAAAAGCAGAGGGCATGTACACGTTGTTCTCGTGAAATGGCTGTCACGGAAGGCGATGTCTTAACGAAGGATAGTGTTACAGTGCAAATAATTATAACTTCGAAGACATTTCTCACGTTTATCACAAATTGTTTGAGTTAGAAGAAAAATACAAACACATTTTATACATTATAAAAGTAATTACTATTACATATTGGGCTCATGGTAATCATTATATATGGGACACAAGATACTTATGAATTATATACATATGGATTGAAGTAGGACATACACTTTTTTATTTGTAACGTATATTTTTCTCTCATAACATCAAGGCACAACTGATTATATCAACAAAAAGTACAACATATTCATACAAACCATATATATTTTCGGAAAAGTGTACAAAAAATATTATAAGGTAAAACGGAACTACAACGTGCAAGTTACAAACATGTGATTAACTCTATCGTACAAATAGTGCAGAATATAATACAGAAAAATATCGCTCTCATACATGTGTTGAATCATACCATAACATTGAGGTTGTTTACCAAAAGTAGAATTATGATGGTATTTCCGATTACGAAGGCACCGTTGGTTTCAAAGTGCTTTCGGTTTCTCGGATTCTTCTACCTTTTTAGGTGCGTCCTGCTTGTCGGGTACTTCCGGTTTATTAGGTGCTTCGGGCTTCTTCTCTCCTTGTGATGAAATTTTGTCCTTTAGAGCTTTCTTTGGCACTTTTGCTTTTCCCCTTCGGTAGTAGAAACGAATTAACATGATCAGAAGCATAAATGCTATGCTTCCTGCAACTGCACCAAGGAATGCAGGAGCCCCCCAGGTTGCCGCGCTGTTTGAAGCTGGAAAAAGCCTTCGGTAATGCAAAGCCCACATATAAATAAATAAAACAGCCACTGTAGCGGGGATCCACCATTTATTCCTAGATATAGTTCGCGCTAGTGTACTACAAAGTCCCCTAGCTTGCTCGCTCGTTTCTTTAATTTGTGCTTTATTTTTTGAGGCTACTAATATCGCCTCTGTCCCAACCTTAGAATCTGGTTTTCCCGACTTCCCATCCGTCGCACTTGTTTTCACTGGGCTTGCACTAGGACTAACGGGATCTTTATTCTGTTCTGGTGTTTGGTTATCCGTTCCATTGTTCACTTCAGTTCCTTGTGGCTTGTTTTCCTTTTTTTCACTCTGTACATTATTCTGTGTGGACGGTGGTAACGACCCTTCTTCACCCACCTTCGATTTTGGTTTACCAGACTTTCCTGGCTTCTGATCCGATGCGTCTTTTGTAGGTTGACCCTTACCAGGAGTGAGGAGTAATGTATTATTTGGTGGCGGTGCTTGCATATCCAATTCAACGGTCAGTACTCTACTCATCCTGACACCGACGGTGTCCTCTTGGCCCGTTACGTGGTTCCATGATGAGCCCAGTTCGTTTACCTAACATATAACAAAAAAAGCGGGAAAGATGTATTTGGGGGGTTATACAATGCACAATTATTCAGATAAAAGACAAGTACGCACAAGTTTTTTCAATTGTTGGGAGCACGAATAACGTCATAAACATAAATGAGAATCCACATTCTACGGAAGCGTTCACTAGTGTCGTACGCGTTCGGGATATTGCAAGGAGTACAATATGAAGCCAAATATGGACAGTTTCACAGGGAACATCATTTTGTGCTGTGTTTGCTTCCTTTTTATTTCAGAGTAAAAGGAGGTTCCTATGAACTATATGTAGTTTTTTCTTATTTATAAGAAGGGGGATTATATGATTATTCTTATATGTAGCTGTGTTGACACCACGTGGGTATTCTTTTTTTTGTGCATTCCAGGATTATATGATTGTTTGCTAGCCTTTTCTTTAAATATACATGAATGATTGTTTCTTATTTTTTTTTCTTCCTTTTTTACGATACGCAAGGATGATTGAATTGTTCCTTTGTTTTTTTTCTTTTTTATGGTATATATGTATGATTTGTGTGACTACTTTTTTCACCTTTTTTTCACAAATTATATGCGCACTATTCATTTATTTTTTGTTTTTTGTTAAGTATTCATTATGCAATTATTTTTTTTCTTTTTTTTTTCTAGCATATGCGCAGATTTATAGGATTATTCTTTTTCTTTTTTTCATTTTTTTAGTTTTCCTTTGTTCCCTTTTTCCCTATTCCACATGTGGATCTAATATGCAGCGACCTATATGTTCTTTTTTTTTTCCTTTTTTTGCATGTATGCACCTTATTATCCCTGTTTTTTTTTTTTTTTTTTTTTCTTTTTTTCTTACATGCACAAGTGTCGGGTTTGTTTGTATTGTATTCCTATTTTCACTTTTTTTCGTTTTTTCATATGAAATTATATGCCTATTTTCTTCCTTCTGTATATATATGGAGCAGGGCAATGTAGGATCTAGTCTTACTTGTTGCTCACCCATCTTTTTTTTCCCCCTTGTTCTATGAGATGAAGCACGTTCTAAATCCAACATTCTCCCTGTGCACGAGATTTATCTTGCAGTGTTCCATCGTTTCCCGTTTCTTCAAATGTTTTCATATAATTGTAAAGGAAAAAAGGATTATGATGTATATAACAGTGCACAAATAACAATAGTATGGTAGACTGCGCATTCGCCGTGTTAAACAAAAAAAAACAAGTGGGCGTGCATGCGCATTACGTTGCGGATTTAATGGAAGTTTTGTGGACCTGGCGCGTTTAATGCTTTCCTTTTGCATAATATAGGGTGTAGTTCATTGTGCACTACATCAACAAATAATGAGGTAGCACTTGTCCTCAGCGGGAGAGCGTTTAACGGAATGATGTATGTTGTCGAAACGTATGAGTCCCATGGGTACCCTAGTATTTTAATTGCTCTAATGCATGGATTATACATGCAGGAGAGGAATATGCCTACATAGGGATTTTATGGGTTTTCAGGCTTGTGTATGTAGGCGGCGAAGCCGTACGTAATAGAACAAAGATGTGGACAGGGAGCAAGGAAGGCGGCGGTAGGGTGGAATGTGGCAGCAAACGATAACTGTTCGTGCTTTTTCCACTCGGTTATATTTGTGCGTGGTGTGAGCTTGTGCGTTGTGTGTTGCGTGTGAGATTGTGCGCTTACTTTCCAAAGGGAATAACCAAGGAGGGCGACGATGACGGCGGACAGGAAGAAGAGGACGGGAGTAGTGGCGGTAAGGACGTCGGCGGTTAGGTCGGGGACATCCGGGGTAGGAGACAGGTTTATTTTATCGTCAGGGGTTTTAGGGTGTGTCGTATATGGTGGTATTCCCGCTGCAAAGGCACCTCCAACTTTACCAAGTACATTAGGGCCTGGATCATTCAAGGAGAGGCCATCTTTCTGTGTATGTTGAGTCCCTCCTGAGGTTCCAGTACCGGAGGAACCAGGGTTTTGGTGACCAGTGGAACCAGGTCCTGAGGATGCGGAACCTCCTGCACCTCCGCCTTTTCCTGCCCCACCAGAAACACCATGCGCAAGATGTCCACCAGGGGAGCTGCGTTCGGAGGCCACCTGATCCGGATTCGGGTTCGGTTTTGGTTTGGGTGGATTGGGAGGAGGCGGGTCATCATTACCCTCTCCGTTACTGTCGGCTTTGGGAAGGTCGTTTCCATTTTGAGTGTCGGGTGCCTTGGACCCGGGGTCATGCGTGTTGCCACTAGGAGTGACTGTAGTCTGTTCAGGCGTCGGTTCTGGGGACGCTGGGGTACCGCGGGGGACAGTCCCAGATGATGGTTCCGTCTGTGTCACCTGGTCCTTCTTCTCTTCAGGTGCTGATGCTGGTCCTCCTGTTGCTGGTTCTGATGCTTTCGGTGCTGCTGCTGTAGGTGCAGATGGGGATCCTGACGAGCCTGGACCATTCGCACCATCCTTACCTATAATGTCAAATGAAGAAGTAGGGGATGTGATGAAACTGAAGTTTTGTGCGGTGGTCTGCCATGTTTGACCGTGGTTGTGGTTGGTCCCATGCTCGGTTGCCCCTTGGCCACGGGCGGTCGGCTACACGGTTCACCGGCGGTAGGGTGACGAGGCAGGGATAGGGCACGAGACGAACGGGGGGTGGCAGGTGCCACCACGGGAAAAGACTATCTCTGGCACCCACACAACACACACACAGAGACAGTGTGTGAAGGCGTTTAGTGGAGAAGGGCGGGGCGGGGTTTATATACATGACGCGTTGTGTGTGTAGGTAGCGTAGTAGTACTTTTTCTATTTTTTCCTTACCTTTTTCTTTTCTATCTGTTCTTTCTTCCTTATTTTCTTTCTTCCTTTTTCTCCGTGTTCGACAGAAATATTAAGTTAGGACATTGGTGTACGTTCTTTGTGGGTAGGGAGGCCACAGCAGGACCTTGTCGTATATGAACTACTAATTATGGAGTATATTTTCCCTGGTGGATGTAATTTTTCTATTTGGGAACACATTTGTATAGGTTTATTTTTTTTTTCTTTTTTCAGTGATATTATTATCTATTCACGAGTATACCTTTTTTTTCCTGTTTCATTCTGTTTTCTCTTTTTTTGCATCAATTTTTAATGCCGAACACGGGTGGAATATATTCTATCGAAGATAAGGGTATTGGATATTTCTTGGGACATATATGGCATTAATAATTTTCTAGTACGCTGTATGTGCAGAAAACATTGTTTAAATATTTCTTCCGGCATTAATATTATTCAGGACCTTCCACATAGTTGGACTTTTTCGTGTAGTGTACACTCCTGCACTCGTGCTCTTCTGCATGAGTCCTGTGTGATGAAGAAGGAGGAAGTATATAAATTACAATTTAAGGGTGGGTTGTATTTCATACAGATACCATATAAGAGGAATTGTGCAGGAGTGTGAGCAAGAAGGTATAGTTAAACGGAAGTAGCATCCATGAGTAATGATGCAGACTATGCGGCAGTATACTATTGTTATCAGAGTTAATGCAGTGTATAGAACTAAGGGTCGAACAATATGTCTACTGCAGAGTTCGTAGATGCACTAGCAGAATATTTAAAACGTAGGCACGCGTACCAGGGTGAACAGTATGGGGTAAGTTAATGTAGAGTAGGAAAGAGGGGAGAACATAGTTATTCTTTGTGGAACGCGTATAGGGTGAACAGAAGAGTATTCCAACCATAGAATATGCTTATGGATGGTTTTGTATGGTTCAGTCAGTATAATGTGGGGGAAGGAATTTGTAATAGAGGTGAATCGTTTTATATATGAGAAAGTGCAAATTCATTCCATTCAGCGTATATATAAGTGAGTGGACTCAGGAAAACATGTAAGAGTACAGTATATGTATACATGTATATAGCCCGTGTTATTGATGTAAGGGGGCAGCGTGTATTGGCTGAGTGAGTAATGTCATGTAGGAGAAGTGGGCACTGTTAACGAGTACTAAGAGAACTGTCACGTATTTATATGAATATATGGATTAATCGGAATGCAGGATATGATATGGCACGACACCAGACAACTGTTCGAAGTCCTAAAGGACAAATAGAACCAGCACCACACATTCCATGCGGCGATGTGCGAGCAAATGTATCCTGCACCACGCACGGGCATTATTGCACTGCAAAGGAAAGTTTGCCAGAGGGTCATGAACGTTTTTCTATTTATGGATAGAATTGACTGGGTCGGGGAGAAATGGGCACAGAGTAGGATATTCAAACATGAACAGGTGCTTGAGGATTATCTCAGGTGCATGTTGGGGAATGTGGCCATAGTGGAACACTTTGGCAAGCACTGCATGCACATAGAAATTGTGAAGGCTGTTTCTACGGCAATGAGCATGTGGAGAGAGTCGTTCCAAGACGTCGATAATAGTAAAAAATGTGAACACATTAATTATAATGACCTGAAGGTTGGGAGCAAGTTGGTTGGTTTAACCATGGCAAAGTGGATGGAAGAATTGAGAGATGCAGGAAGAATTTCACCTGGAACAGCTTCGGCCACAGGAGGAGTATGTCGGGGATCTAAAGGAAAAACAGGTGAACGCAGGGCAGACTCAGGGCAAGGAAGTGTGCCTGTTGCAGGAGTATTGAACAGTCAGGATCAGGAAGAACTGAAAACATTCATCAATAAGGGGAAGGATCTGACAGAACAGGACAGAAAGGACTTACTGAAGGAGGTGTTTGAGCAGGGTGGCGGACTGCAGGGAATAGAAAACATATTAGACAAAGTGAAGGAGGGGGAGTGGCCAAGGGACAACAAAAGAACGAAGAACTCCCGTTCGAAAACTCCACATGAAAACGCACACTCACCGGGGTAAACACAGGCAACATCATCATCCACAACAACATCAACACCACCGGGCATGTCAGAAACCGGTAATACAGGTAATGCACGTGGCACCGCCAAAACCGCGGACGGGTCAAAACCAGCAGATAATGAGGCGGCAACACCACCAGGGGAATCGATAGGTAATACCGATGGGAGAAAGCACGAATAGGCGGCCGCACACGAACACGCGGCCGCATACTGACCGTACGCATATGGATACCGCCACAACAACGCAACTGCCACAACACGCGCACGTGGCGGAACAGCACGACCCACGTCGCTGGGCTACACTTCGGTTGAGCGATGAGCGACCACGACGTCATCGGTAGCGGTAGCGGGGACGTGAGTGTAGACGAGTGTAGACGAGGTGTGTGTGTGCGCGTCGGTCACTGTGTAGACGAGTGTGACATGTAGAGTGTACGGAATTTATGGATTTACGGGGATTATATGTGGATGAACTCTTGCAGAAGCTTTGAAGTTAAAAAAAACAAGGGTGTCTGCTCTCTCCCCATTCAGGGTGCTATCCTAGTGCGTGCCGCTGTAACGGCCCATGCATCCCTATATCCGTTTATGCTATATTCTACATAAGGTATGTTGTTATTATCGTGTACATAACTATAGTTCCAACAAAAGGGGGGATGTTAATGCAGCGCCAGAATTGTTGCAAAGTTCGAAAAAGAAAAACCAAAGGACAGGGAGACACAGAGGGAATGAACTTCCTACATACTATAAAAACACCCTTTATATAATGTATGCCTCATAATCATTAGGTAATGTTTGTTACGTGCAGGATATGAAATAATTGTTCTCTCTCTGTCTCTCTCTCTCTCTCTCTCTATATATATATATATATATATATATATATATATGTTACATATAGAAAGACTTCTTCTTCTTTTTTTTGTTTTTTTTTAAATGTGTAGCCTAGCCATGACAAAAATAAACAACTGATAATGTGCACAAACAGTACAACATACACACGAACAACTATGTATATTCGGAAACATGTACGAACAAAAATTATAATGTAGATCACGGAACTATAGGATACATGCTATAAAGGAAGAATAAGCCACATCATAGGGGCGGACATGCAACATCATGACACACATCAATCTAATAGGTATGCAAAAGTGTAATATATTATGATCCTTATGCAGTACAACGCGGAATAATTACGGCTTGGTGGATGCCTTATTTACTTCTCCTTCTTTTTTTTCCGTTTCTGTGGGAGCTTGCTGCTTCTTCCAAATTTTATGCAGTAAACATTTCCCTGTCTTGGAGCAGAAGAATGCTGCTATCACGCACGAAAAGCTAATTGCAACCAGTATGGGATTTCCACATGTAATCATGAATTCCGAAAAAAGGAGTGTTTGTTGTCCTACTAACTGTGTAAGTTGCATGCTTGCTCCTGCAAGCGACACAAGTAATGGATATAGAACAGAAGCGATTAGTATAAGTATTGACCATGCTTTCCTTCCCATTTTACAACGTGGAAATTTCTTCAAGCCCCTTTTACAACTATTCCCTGCAGTTATATCCTGCGATGACTTCGATTTGTGCAGCGGCTTCTTTACGTTGTCCGTGGACTTTAATTTTCTCCGCATGTCCTCCAACACCGTGTTCTTCACGGGAATACCCGTCGCATGGCCACCATAAAAATTACGTTGACCCCGTGTGTGCGCATCCTTTCCATCACTCGATGGCACGGTGGGCGTTCCAACTGTACTTGCATCCGTAGTTCCATCTTCTGTGTGATATTGGCTTGTGCCATTACCTGATGATGGGCCTAGTGTACTCGCCTAAAATGTACAAAAAAAAGGGGGAATATATACGAGTCTTATGGTGTATGTACAGAAGGATGTAGAGCGTGAAAAAAAAAATGGGCGGCAGGTTTATAGTTGTGTTGAAGGAGTTAGGAGCTTATCACAATAAATGTGGTAACTCCCAAAAAAATACAGTTGTTTGTTCCATACACAGTCAGCAATTTGCCGTAAGCACAGGGATAAAGTCAATATAGAAAACTTCACAGGTAATATCATTCTGTTTCTTTCTTTTCGCTTTAGAAAATGGTAGAAGTGGCGATATGTTGTTTATATGTATGAATTATAGAATTGTTTTCTCTTCCACATCTAGGTGTATAGATTATGCGTGAAGTACATTTGTTCATCGGCCAATAGTGAACATTGATAAAATCAATTTGGTACATGATTTACTATTGTTACCTAAGTATGTACATATGAACTCAAGAAAGAATTCCTATGCACAATGCTACAAATACAACATGAGGAACGTGCGAAAGGAATGGATAAGAACCAGTTGTGGATACATGCTGTACGACGTAAAAGTTGACTAAAGGGGTCAACATTTTTCACAATTGCAGCACGGCTACATTAATCATGTCGTTGTGTTAACGGTGTAATGGGAGCAAAGTGTATATTCAGCAGAGCAAAATTCCATATCTGGGATAACACTTTTCTCTTTTTAAATTAGGTGTAAGGGTGAAGAAAATAATCAGAACAGAATCTATTATAGCCCGTTTTACATACCAAAAGGGCGAAAAGTTTTTTTGTTTACGTGTAGAGCCGCGGGCTCAACGTTATATTGTATCAGTGTTTAGGGAGGTTATTATTGTCACGTACTCGCATAATTATACATGTGTCGTGGCCGTTATTATTTTTGGGGGTCGTCATTTATATCGTTCTCAGATTTATTACGCGCAGTGATAAATAAGAAATGCATAAATATGGTGTACAACGTTGTATACGTGTGTTTCTCCTGTTGTTTTTGACAAAGCGTGAATGGATTTAATTTAGAGTGTGAGGAACATGCATACAACATGAAAGATAAGTGTAGGGCCATTTTGTATTTTGGGGTTTTAGGGGCCTTACGATTTAGGGCTTAAGTTTCGATGATTGCGCCGTTCCGGGATTGAACGATTTCAGAATTTTAAGGTTTCCGGATGGTAATGTTTCGGGGATTGTAAGGTTTGCGGAATACGGATTTAAGGTTCGGGACTTAATGCTTACTGTTTTAGGATTGTAAGGTGCAGGCATCCGTATTCAGCATTCCGGGTTGCGGATTCAAGGCTAAGGGTTTAATATTCGCATGTTTAAAAGTTTAGGGGGCTGAGAGTATTTAGGATTCAGGGCTTTTTTTTTTTTTTTTTTTTTTTTTTT